TCTTGGGACTATTAATGAATCTCTCTCTGATTGATGAAGAGAAAAATGTAGCATTAAAATGGTTTGCAGGGTCAAAAATAATAATCCTACCGATCTTTATTATTTGGAATGAAGCCAGAGCCAGGAGGACAGTAAGGGGTGTCTCTGTCATGCCACAGCTGGCTCTATACAATCCACGATGGGAGATGCTCCTGCTTCATGGTAACTTCCCTGAGTCCACTTACTAATTCACTTTCTGGGCCAAAATGTAATAGAGGCAAAACATTTCTGAAACCCAGGTCTAGAATGGATTCTTTTTTTTTTTTTAAGATTTATTTATTCGTACAGAACTGGGGTACAGGCCAGAGATGCGGAGGGTGAGAGTATTCACCAGAGACAGAATGGGGTACAGAACAGGCAGAATGACAAAGTACACTGCTGAGGGAAGCAGCGGGCGGGTCAGGAGAGGTCTGCCGCACCATGTAGTCACCTCCGGGGCAGGCGGGGATGGAGCTCATGCGGAAGTGGCTTAAGCTTCTTTGTGCTGCGCTTTAACCCGCTGCACCACCAGGGAGGGCCCTAGAATGGATTCTTAAAGTAATTTTTCTTGTATGGGTCTGGACAAATAATTGTCTTCATGTCCCTGAATGATAGTATTGGACACGATCCCTGGATGCCTCTTCCATTTCTATAGAGCCCACATATCTAAAGCAAATGCATTGTTTTAATATTCCTTTCTGCATTCTTGATTCAAATTCTGGTTTCCCATTTAATCAGCTGTAGGACCCTAGACAAGTGATTTAACATCACTTCGCTTACCTTCAAAAAAATTGTAGCTGGTGTTTAATATAAGTGAGAAAGTTTTTATATACCTGGCACAGTGTAGGTCTCCAGTCACCCTCTTCTGATCAAATAATTTACATTTATATTTTATTATAATATTGGCCATTTTATCTGCTTTTGCAGATAGGGTTATACGTGTGAATTCCTATCTGTATCTCAGAAATTTCAAGGCCTGAGACCGTATGTTCTTATGACAAGCTGGTAGACTTGTGATCTGCTTCCTCTTCTTTTTGTCTTCGCCCCAGTCGGGGATTTCTCGCCAGCGTCACGCTGCCTCTTCCTGTGGCGCTGTTTCCTTTGCAGGGCTGGCACCATCATCACACAGCCCTCTGCTCTGGAGCAGGAAGCTTGTCCACAGAGAAAGGGGAAATTTGTGAGAGCCATCTGCCTTTAGCCATGAGCTGTAGCTACTGTTTTAACAGACTTGCAGTTAGGGTGGGTGTGACTCAGGTCCGAGTAACCAGTTGGATTCATGTGTGCTAACTTAAGATCCACTGCCAGGCTGAAAACTTCCCTTAGATATCATCAGGCTTTGTTACGGTCATGGTGTCAGTTAAGGAAACTGGAATAGAAGAAGGAGACCACAGAGAACAGCAAGCTAGGGCAAGACTTCCGTAGGCTGCGCTAGGTGCGTGAATTCGTAGACATCTCTGTGCTGGAGAGCCTCAACATCATGCTTTGCTATGAAGCAATTATGAAGAGCTGTGTCACCTTGCAACTTGTCTTGTTTAATTTCTGACGATATTACTCAGTCTTGGTCGCATTTGTCATTTCCTGTTTTTAGCCCTACGGAAAAGCACAAAAATGGTTCGATGAACACCTGAACACCATTTACCTAGAATCAAACTGTTATTTTTATTTTGCTGTGTTCGTTTAATCTCTCTCTACAGTTTTATTTTGGGGAGCCCTAAATGTGATTTTTTAAAAGATTTATTTATTTGTGCATACAGAACTGGGGTACAGGCCAGAGGGGCAGGAGCGGTGAGAAGATTCACCAGAGACAGAGTGGGGAGCAGAACGGAGATCAACAAAGTCCACTGCTGAGGGGGTAGCGGGGAGACAGGAGGGGTCTGCTGCGCCCTGGGGCTCACCTCTGGGGCAGGGATTGAACTGGCACTGAGGCGGCTGTGGCCAGGTTGCAGTGCTGCGCCCTAACCCGTTGCGCCACCAAGGAGGGCCCCCTAAACGCGGTTTTTAACGACTGCGCATGTTTAACTATAATGGTATAATTAACCGTTACTGTTTTCCTCCAAATTCATTTTGTGCAGTGAGCTTCCACATTAAGCACTATACGTAGGGACCCCATTTTAAACCAGAACCCTGCAGCGTGGGTGTGACAGAAGAAGGGTTGCGGTCTAGAGGATGTAAGTGCTTGCCGAAGGTCAAATAGCCAGGTCTGCTGTTTTCAGCTTCTGGCACACAGTGGCTTGCTGCCCCCACGAACTGGTGGGGCAGAGACTAGAGTCCACGTCTCTTGGGAAGTTATGTTCTCAGTCATTTCCTGCTTCGGCCGCCTGCCATCTGCTGGAATGCTGGCTGCCCTGTAAATCTCTCTCTCCTCTCTCCCTTCTGCTCACAGCATGCCATCTGACCTTAGATGGGTCAGCAGGTTATTTTTGATGTTATTTCTTTACTTCCACCTCTCTCTAGACTGAGAATCTCTTGCTGGGAGGGGGCTGTCTCTATGTAACTGACCTTTTGTTCTCAGCTTCTGGCTCACTGGAGCTGTTCAATTAATATTTAGCAGATAAAGAAAGTTTCTTAATGTGCATTATTTGCTTGGCACAACTCATCACGTACCAGCATTGAGAACCTGAGCTTCAACAAACTGAACAGCACATCATTTGGCCATTTTATATCCATATCACTCAGGCGTTTCCATGTGAGCAAGAGAAGTATGTCCCATTCTATTAAGTGGACATTTTATTTTTACTAAGCCTGTCCTTTGTTTTCAAATAAAAAGCCAGGAGTCACATCTTTGTTTCCTGAAATGACATTTATTGTAAATATTTCTGCTAAATGTTAATGAAATTTCGAGAACCAGATTTTTCACAGATTTGTATACAACACTAATATATATATAACACTACCTTTTTTAAAAATGAAATTATTTGAAACCTGCAGAAAAGTCTGGATATTAATAACAACAACCCTGAGATCTTTTATGCAGATATGTATAGGTTCACTTATATGGTACGAAATCCTTGTACATATAAAGTTATATGCACACTTACGTGGTAGGAAATCCTTGTACATATAAAATGATTTGAAAGAAATCGATGCTTACATTTCTAAGGTCGTACCCCTTGGTTTTTGTCAAGGAGATGTCAGATTCTCCAGTGTGCAAATGTCGCTCAGGCTGTCTCAGATCTGCTGTGTTTCCAAGCCCCTGTCTTTGATGCCTGGGGATGCTTATTTCAAGCAGCTTTCCTGACTCACTGCTTCAAGACCTATCACAGCTGCAGGTACAGTTGCAGGGGGATTTATTTGTACCAAGAAACCATCATTCACCCTTACTTCAACTCAGCTGGGTGCTAGCAGTGTTATGGAACCTTTTATCTGAGTGTGTTTGGATGAACACAAATGATATGATGAATTATTGGATTAATTGGTATCATCTTTTGCTGTTTTAAAGGCTATGGATTGCTTTTGCTACCACTCATTTCAATAAGGGAAGAAAAATTAATCATGATAGAAGAAAATTATTGTCATGTTATGATCTACTTTTTTTTTGTTCTACAAGTTCGATCTATATTTGTCAATGCATTCCAATACTGACCTTGTTTATTTGTTACAGAACTTTTGTTTAAAATGTTATGGGAAAAAAAATTAAACATGCTTAAGCATAAACCACCCCATCAATGAAAAACATTATCTCATCGCCTTGCTAGGTGTCTGATTCCAAAGAACTCAAAGAAACAATTAGCAGTATTAATCTAGTTTCCCCTTTTTATTCACTAGTAGAAAAGATTTATTAACTCTGCTACACATTAGATTAGCTTATGAAATATTTGATTTGATTTTCCCCTGTTGCTCATTGCTCTTGCTTTTGATTTAGCTCCTTGTTTACTTTGATTAATCTTTTTTAATCTCACATCTTAATTATTTAGGTTGGAAGTGAGTTATCCTATTTAATCGACAGTGGTAGTAGCATCAAAGAGAAGAAGACAAAAGAGTTTCAATAGGATTTTTAGCATCTGCTTCTGAATATTTAATTATTTCTATTTTTTCATGCTTCTATCTGGTGTATCCAGAGAATAGAGGCACAATTATCTTCAAACATCAAAAGCAGCTATCAGTGAATGAATGTATTTTAAAATGTTGCCTCCATTTGAGTCAATGTTTTGTGTCCTTTAGGTAGGTCCCTAGGAGAGGACTTGCTGGGTCATATGGAAGTTCCATGTTTAGCAGTTTGAGAAACATCCACACAACTTTCCATACTGGTTGGAGCAGTTTGCATTCCCACCAGCAGTGTAGGAGGAGAGGGGACAGGATCAACACTGGGGCGGGAAGAGCACACAGGACTCTGGTGATGACATAGGAGTGAATTGGTGGTGGGAAGCCCACGGGCTTACAACCAAGATGAAAACATGTTCAGAATGAAGACTGTTGTAAAATGTGTGTGTGTGTGTGTGTATACATATTTAAAATTTAAAAAAATTGTTGTGTCCAGTCCTTTTTACTTTGAATTGTATGTAAAGAAACAACTCAGACTGTGTCTCATGTTTGAACACTTCAGGCTCTTGAGTAACACAGGAAAGCAGCACCTTTTGGGGCTCCTTTCTCAGGGTCCTGGTAAGAGAGCCCCATGTCCTGCGGAGCCAGGAGGCTGTAAGACAGGGCCTCCTAGGGCTGTGTCCACAGGAGCTGTGTGGACGAGGGGTGCTGAATAGTTCCCTACTTTACAGAAGCCCAAGGGGAGGAAGGGATATAACTAGGGGTTCAGGGGTCACGTTTAGTCAATTATGATACCAAAATCAAATACTGGTCTTCTGACCCTTACATTTGACACTTAATGTCAGTCGTGTCTTAGTGTTGTCTTACTGTCTTATCTTACTGTTTTCACCATAAGGCAAGAATTTTACCATGAGAATTGTGGAGCAGTATTTTTGCTAATAACTGTGAACAGTACCTCAGAGCTATCATGCTGAAGGTTTTGACTTTTTTCTTCTTTCCAGGATTCATACCTGTATGTAGCCTTGGAGTGGCTCAAGTGGGCAGGATGAACTTTGGAAAGGATGTCAGCACCTTGAAATATTTTACCATCTGTGGCTTGCAAGAGGGCTATGAACCATTTGCTGTTAATACAAACAGGGATATTACCATGTGGCTAAGCAAGAGGCTTCCTCAGTTCCTCCAAGTTCCATCCAACCACGAACATATTGAGGTTTGCTTTGTCTTTAAAAATCAGATCATTGCCCAAAGACAGGAGGGGTTATCCTTACATGGGTGAGTTCCTACTTGGAAATTGTGGTTACTTAAAATGGCGACCTTGATGTATTCCACAGTAGAGGAATCTTAGCATTGGGTTAACTTCTGATTTTAGTTTCATTAGAAGTGACCCAATATTTAATTTAGTCATTGTCTAGTTTATGAGCTTAATCTGAATATATGCAACAACAGAGGGATTTCTCAAGCCATTATCTGAGCTAGAAGCAGAACATTGATTCTGTCACCCCAAGCTCCCTGTGATGTATCTTCTCATTTATACAAGGATGGCATCTGTGGGCTCTACCTGGGCTTTCAAAGGCATAGTACATAGTACGTGCGAGTGCTGGTGGATCTTTAGAATCAGGAAGTCAGTGACAATGGCTAGGGTTTGATCGGCTGCGTCTTCATTTGCCAGGTGACCAGGATAGATGGCACCATAGACAGTTCCCCGTGCCTGAAGGTCACGCAGAAATCCTTCGGCGCCCAGAACAGCAGCACCGACATCATGTTCTACCGCCTGAGCATGCCCATCGAATGTGCCGAGGCCTTCTCCAAGACTGCGGCGGGGGGGCTCCCCGGGGCTGGTCTTTTTGGGCCCAAGAGTGATTTGGAAGATTATGATGCAGACTCCGACTTTGAGGTTCTGATGAAGACAGCTCATGGCCATCTGGTTCCTGATCGCGTTGACAAAGACAAAGAAGCTACAAAACCAGAGTTTAATAACCACAAAGATTATGCTCAGGAAAAGCCTTCTCGTCTGAAACAAAGGTCACTGATAGATGGAGAATGATTTTAAATATAGCCTCATTCTGGGGGGTGGGGTGGAAGGGCCGGGCTCAGTGGCAGTTAAGACATTTCCCAGTGTCTGTTTGTCTTATTCCTCCTTTCCATACCAAGGATTCTACAGACAATAAGCCTGCTTGTCATCTTACTTTTAACCACAGACATGATCTGTCGAAAGACTTGAGGCTTTTTTTTTTTTTTATGGTGGTAAAATCCACATTACAAATGTTTACCATTTTTAGCTGTCTAGGTCAGTAGCGTTAAATCTGTTCCGTTGTCCGGAGGTAGGTCTCCGAGCTTCGTCCTCTCACAGAACATAGCAGCTCTCCTTTTGCACCACCCTTTCCCCTGGAAAATGCCTGTCTTTTTTGTTTCTGTGAACTTTCCTCAGGCTCCTGATGTAGTGGAATCACACAGAAATTCTCTCTTGGTAACTTGGTTCATTTAATGCGACGTTTTCGAGGTTCAGTGACATTGTAGGTTTGTCAGAGCTCGAGTTTCCTTTGCATTGTAGGGATGGATGATGGGGTTAGTACACCACATCCTGCTCATTCATTCACTCTTTGATGGACATTTGGGGTGTTTGCACCTCTCAGCGATTGTGACTATTGATGCTGTGAACATGGGTAAGCAAAGATCACTCCAAGATCTTACTTGCAGTTCTGTGTATACCCTGAAGGGCTTGCGGGCAGTTCTGTTGCTCTGTTTCACTGTACTATGCTCAGTACAGGGATTTCCAGTTTCTCTGTGACCTTCTCAACCCTTACAACTTTTTTTTTTAATAACAGGCCTAGTGGTTGCTATGTGATATGTCATTGTGGTTTTTATTTACATTTCCCATGTTTAGTGCTGTTGGGCATCTTGTCACATGCTGATGGCTATTCGCGTATTATTTGGCAAATGGCTGTTCAGGTTCTGTGCCTGTTTTTGATGGTGTTGTCAGCTTTTTGTTGAGTGGTTGGAGTTCTTTATATATTCTGGATATTAACCCCTCATCAGATTTATGATTTATAAGAGTTAGTTCTTTTTAAAAAAATTACTTATTTATGCACACAAGAGCTGGGGTGTAGGCTAGAGATGCAGGCATGGGGGTGGGGATGAGAGGATTCACCAGAGCAGAGTCGGGGGCAGAACAGGCAGATCCACTGAAATGCTGAAGGGAGCAGTGGGCAGGATAGGAGAGGTCAGCTGCACCATGTGGGTCACTCCCTAGCTGGGGATCAAACTCTTGTTGCAGTGGCTGTGGATAGCTCCATAGGGCTGAGATCTAACCACTTGCTCTACCAGGGAGGACCAAGAGTTAGGTTTTTTTTTTTTTTTTTTTTTTAAAGATTTATTTATTTATTCATACAGAACTGGGGTACAGGCCAGAGGCTCAGGGGCGGTGAGAGGCTTCACCAGAGACAGAGTGGGGAGCAGAACAGGCAGATGGACGAAGTACACTGCTGAGGGGAGCAGCGGGCGGGCCAGGAGAGGTCTGGCTCGCCATGTGGTCTCCTCCGGGGCAGGCTGCAGGCGGGAATCGAACTCATGCGGAAGTGGCTTCAGATTCTCAGTGCTGCGCTTTAACCCGCTGCGCCACCAGGGAAGGCCAAGAGTTAGGTTTTTTAAGCTGCCTATATGGAATTTTTTTTGGCTGAAATTTAAAGAACATTCTCTCCAAAGAATTTTGGTTTTTTGTGGACAAGAAAGCACAATTCTAGCAATCATTCTTGTTCTTAATTTGAATAGCTCACCCTCAGCATGATTAGCACTGGTTGGATAGATATTGGTTATCTGTTGTGAATACCTGGCACTGCAGAGTATTGAGCCGCCGCTCTGGCCTCAGCCACCAGATGCCAGTGGTAATCGTCCCACGTTGTGACAAGCAAAAATCTTGTTTAGGAAGCAAATGTCCTTTAGGAAGCAAAATCCCTCTGGTTAAAGCCACTTTACTAAATTGATTTTTTGTTCATGATGAAGTAGGCAAAACAATTTATGTATGTGGCTTATTCTTAGTGCTCTAATATATTTCAGATTTTTGCTTAGAAGAACAAAACCAGATTATAGCACAAGCCATTCCGCAAGACTCACAGAAGATGTCCTCGCCGATGACCGGGACGACTACGAGTACTTGATGCAGACATCCACGGTACGAGGTCGCGGCCCTGTCCTTCGTTGCTCTCAGGTCACGCTTTTCATTTCAGACGGTCCACTGAGAGTCGCCATGTTAGCTGGCTTATTTGGAAATAACTAATTGCTTATATTTGTAGGACTTAAAACTGAATATTATGTTCTGTGAGAACTCTCTTAGGGGAAATGTCCTTAGCGATACCCTTCATCCTGAGTTATGCTGTGTTATGCGTTGGCAGAAATTCAATCTGCCACTTCATTTTTTCAAGTAAATATAATTTTCCTTGTTTTACTGAGATGCCTGTAAAAGATCATTTATCACTCTTTGTTAGAAATCATTTTGCTTTCTGCCACTTGAAGTGTTCAAAACATTTCTTCTCCAAATGCCAGGTGGGATATATGTAGAGAGAGTTATGCTCCTTGTAGATACGTTTGATTTTCACATATTCGATCTAAACTATGCCAGAGTGATTTTATGGTGTGAAAATGTGTTAGTAGTAGGCAAAGCAAAAGATACTGAGGAGGTGAGTGACATGCCCATACTGGCAATTATAAAAAACCTCCCAAACATTGACCGGTTTGCTCAGAGGTACTCATTCCTTTTTCTTTTTCCGATTACTTCTGACTAGACGAAGTCTCTGTTTCAGGAGTGTTGTCATCTTGTCATCCGTCCTCCATACCTGTAACATTTTGATAAGGCCATGTGACTGAAATACAGAAATTATAGCCTTAGCAACTCAAAGATTTTACAGATGGAAGCTTTGTTTTTGCCCCTCCACTAACACTCGGTTTTGCTGTCTTGACAGTACTACTACTCAGTGAGAATCTTCCCGGGGCAAGAGCCAGCTAACGTCTGGGTGGGCTGGATTACGTCAGATTTCCACCAGTACGACACAGGCTTTGACTTGGACAGAGTGCGAACAGTAACCGTTACGCTAGGAGATGAAAAAGGAAAAGTGCACGAAAGGTTGGTATTCCTCGAATTTTTCCATGGAATCTGATAAAAATGTTGATAAATATAGGTGTGATTTTTTGTCTTGAATTTCATATTCAGGCTAACCTTCTACTTGCAGGATCACTCTATTCAGTGTCCTTTTGTGTCCTGCATAAGCCATTCAGACATCTGAATATATTAAAGGTGAAAAACAATATAAAGTAAGAGCAGTGCATCCGGTTTGGGTAATGACCATATTGCCTCAGGTGATTTACTCAGACTAACCGCTCTGTAGTTAACCTTGGCCACGGGATTAAGATGGGTGACTGAAAACCACAGCGTACAGTCAGATATGTAGCCTGGGAGCTGGTTATGGTGGGGAGAGAAAGCGGACATGGTGTGGGCTGGTAGTTGAGACGAGGCGGACACATTTGAACTCAGACTGAGGAGCGGTGGGTTCTTTCCTCAGCTTTGCCATTGACTCGCTGTGTGGCTTTGGGTAAGTCACTTACACTTTCTGTGCCATCCTTTTTCATTTGTAAAACAAACCAAACTCAAACCAAACCTTCAAAAAAGTGCAGAAGGCTATCTTCCTTGCAGAATAAGACAAGAGAAGATCTGACCATTTGCATCTACCTTTGTGCCATGCATCCTCTCTGATCTGCTGTGACAGGGCTCATGGAAAGAGTGTGTCAGAATGTCGCTTTTCTTTTTAGCTGCCCCATCATTTTTGATCACTGGAAGCTCACTCTCCTGCCTCTGGGGTGCAATGGCCTTCAACTTGAGACTGAGTCTAGCGAGAGTCTCGAGTGAAAGAGCGTTATTTACATCAGTGTCGGGGCCCCAGCCACTTGTCTCCAGGAGTTCCTGGGGCTCGTGTGTTTTTTCACAAATGGCTACTGTGCACGGCACACCCCACTACAGAGATGGGGGGCCAGCTAGATGATTGTGCTCTAGGAAGCAGAAGCCAGGGGCGGGTTGTCGAATCGTAGGTCAGTCGCACCAGGAAACACAGTGGTGGTGGTGGAACAAGTGACTGGCTCAGCTTTCTTCTCTTCCTCCTACTTGCCTGCCTTTAGCTTTTTTGCTTGTCTGATACATTCGCTGTACAGTGACGGTCATGGGAGGGAGGTGAAGCTTACATGAATTGCGTATGTCACCTCCGGTAAAGTTTAAGACAAAGGTGACATTGAGGTTGGGCTTTGTTGTTGAGATCATTGATGTTTGTCCACACACAGATCTCTGGGGCTGTCCACAGAGAGGCATCCTTTTAGCCCACTTTGAAACACATGGAATCTGCGGTTAGATCATTTAGAATTTGTCCGGAGACTTGTGTCGTTTGAAAAGGGACGTTTCTCATCTTAGAGCGAGTGGTTAGAAAAAGCCTGAGAATGACAGCTACAAATTTGGATGAGAAGTTAGTGGTTAAACTTTTTTGAACCTCAGACAAAGGTCCAGTTTGGTTTGAGTTTTTGGAGGGAAGGTGTAGATCAGCTCTCACTCGGTTCCGACTGGCGGCCCTGTCTCTACTGGGTGCGAAGCTCAGAGACACGTCAGGCCTGATTCGGGGTAGCCGCGGGTCGGCGGCGTCTTGCTCAGAACCAGAACGGGCCCATGTGCACCTCTCCATTGCAGCATGAGCTTGTTGCCTGCGCAGCCTTACTTAGGTGTAGTTTGCCGACTAGACCCGCTTTGGCCATCTGCGCTCGTACAAAGGTGAAATGTTCTTTTGCAATTCAGCATCAAACGCAGCAACTGCTACATGGTGTGCGCGGGGGAGACCATGAGCCCCGGGCAAGGGCGCAGCAGCGGCGGGCTGGAGATCGGCTGCGTGGTGGATGCTGCCAGCGGGCTGCTCACCTTCACCGCCAACGGCAAGGAGCTGAGCACCTACTATCAGGTACCCCGACCCCCACCTGGGGAGGAGCCTGCTTCTCCCTTCCAGGATGACTACACACTTGAAGAAATTAAGAAAAGAGATGAGTTGTGCACCTTTGCCTCCTTTGAATCATCGTGTCATCGTCTTTGTGAGGAAACAGCACGTCCCTCCCAGATGTTCTCGTAGTCATGACTTAAAACACTCCAAATACGGGTCCTCCCTGGTGGCAGCGGGTGAAAGGGCAGCACTGAGAAGCTAAAGCCACTTAAGCACGAGTTCGATCCCTGCCCGGGAGGTGACCCACAGGGCGCGGCAGACCTCTCCTGATCACCCGCTGCTCCCCTCAGCAGTGTACCTCGTCCATCTGTCTGTTCTGCTCCCCACTCTGTCTCTGGGGAAGCCTCTCACTCCCTCTGCACCTCTGGCCTGTACCCCAGTTCTGTGTGCAGAAATAAACAAATTTTTCCCAAAAATACCCCAAATAACATTTGAAAGAGGATGTCACTGTGAAAGGAGCATTGTTTGGTCTCCTGTGAGAAGTGCTTGTGTCGTTAGGAAGAACATAAGAATCCCTGTGTTCTGATTTAGACTATTATTTGTATTTTGTTTAAGATTTATTTATTATGCATACAGAACTGGGGTACAGGCTAGAGGTGCAGGGGTTGGGGGGGTGAGAGGATTCACCAGAAGCAGAGTGGGAGCAGAACAGCTGATGGACTGAAACAGTGCTGAGGGGGCAGCGGGGAGACAGGACGGAGCTGCTGCACCCGGGGATGGAACCCGTGCTGCAGTGGCTGTGGACAGCTTCACAGTGCTGTTCTCTAACCCCTTGTGTCACCAGGGAGGGCCCTATGCTATTATTATTTTTTCCCATCTCATTTTTTTATTATAATAATTTATTTTTACATCATTTTGTGCCGTTTCCCATCTCAGTTGTAATCCCCGTGGGCTTCCCATCACCAATCACCCATGTGCCATCACCATAGACCTGTGCACCCCCCATTTTTGATCCCAAACCCCACTCCACCCCCATGAAATGTCTCAGTATATAATTGTTCATTATTATTCCCTTCCCCCTGGTCCTTTATGCTCCTGCTATGAGTGAAACCATCCAGTATTTTTCTTCTTCTTTCTGGCTTATCTCACTCAGCATGATCTCTTCTAGCTCCATCCATGTTGCTGCAAAAGACATGAGTTCATCCTTTTCGATTGCTGAGTAAAATTCCATTGTGCTTATACTATTTTTTAAAATGCATTTGTTTATTTCAGGTGGAGCCAAGTACCAAATTGTTTCCTGCAGTTTTTGCACAAGCCACAAGCCCCAATGTTTTTCAGTTTGAGCTGGGGAGAATAAAGGTAAGGCTCATTCCTGAGCATATCTTTGGGTGGCTGGCTAGAACTTAGTTTTTATTGAATGAATTCAGTGTTTTATTCGTAGTGATGTTTGTCAAGCACAGCATTCACTAAGAGAAATGTAGCCATGACTGAAAATTCTGTAGCCTTTTAAGTCACAAGGGGAACCTCAATTCACTAAAAAGGGGTTACTCTTTGGTCATTATAAATAGACAATGCAATAAAACTAGGCTGACAGACATTCAGAAGGCCCAATTATAGAGAGATCAGTAGTCTGAACTTGTAGGTGAGCTAGTGAATGGGCTTCAATAGTTGGAAGTATGCTGCATGATTGTAGACGCTAGAATGGAGGCCTATGTAGAATGCTCGGGAACAGGAGTGAAAGAAGAGCTGAGGTGAATGCATGACTCAGGTGGAACTAAGTGTGCACATGGCATTAGGCTGATACTCCGCTGTTGAACAGGAGTTCTCTGGGCCCACACTAGGAAAAGGCATTCTAGGTAGAGCGGAAGCGAAGAAATTACCTAAGCGTGAACATGCTGAAGGCTAAGGAATTCTGTGCAACTGTAGCTAACAGCAGACACCTCAGATACTGCTGGTGATAATTTGGATAAAGGGTAGACCAAGTTCAGCTCAGAAAGGCTCACATGCCACTCTAAGAAGCTGGCATCTTTTATATAGACAGTGGCCATGAGTGGGAGTTTGAAGCAGAGGATATGGAATCGTAATGTGGAATTCTAACTGACGCTCGCAAGGAGAGCGGGGAGTAATGACCTGGTTTCAGCGATTTGATATTGTTGACGTGGGGGACGACGTCGAGAGCCTGAAAGGGACCATGGAGAGGGCGACGAGAAGGCAGTTTAGAGCAGGACTTCACATTACAGTGGACTGGATTCATAGAGTCCTGTTGATGAAGGGGATACTGGGTATCCGACAGCGAGATAAACTCAGCAGCCGGGGGGGTTAATACAGCACCCGAGGAGCTAGTTGGAGCTCAGGGAAAGGGATTGCATTTTGCAGTTGTAAAAACTGAGATGCCAGGGAAAGACCAGGCTGAATGCAGGGGCCCAGCGCCCTGCATGGCCCGGACTCCCGGCTTCACTGAAGTGGACTGTCTGCTCTCACCGACAGTGAGACTCGGCCTCTATCTAGTTAGGAGAATTTCAGTGACTTGCCAGCAGAATTTCTGCAAAAAGATGGAAGAAGCTGTCTCAGCATGAATTCAACACAGGAAATGAGGAGACAGCACATTTGGATGTTTTTTAAAATAAAATTGCACTGCAAATCGGTAGTTTTCCAAACGCTCACCACACACTGGCTGTGGACGTTCCCATTTAGGTGTTTTATAGCGGGGCCGCGTGGGCATGCTGGACGGAGCTGCTGCTCCCCTCCCCGTCACCGGGCTGTGAGCTCGTCTGCTCTGTGCTAGTTGAGAGCACGTCCCATTGCACAGACCCCGTCTCAGGGAGTGACCCCGGCTTCCCGCGGCAGCCCATTCTGCATCCCGGTCTCACCGCAGCGACCCTCCCCAGTGCGCTGCCTCCCCGCGCGGCAGCTGCCCACCTTGCTCTCAGTCACCGTCACGCCTCGTCGCATCACCCCGAGTCTCCTCACAAGGTGTCTCTCCTTTATCCCGGTCGGCTGATTATCACACAGCCTCCAGACTGTCTTGGTCTGAAGTATCTATTCATTATTCCGCTTGAAAGCCCAGACACCTGCTCTTCCTGAATGCAAACAGTAGATGTCTTGCAGGGTTCTCAAGTCCTCAAAGGTCAGTTCCCGCTCTGCCTTCACGGACCGTGGCTCTCTCCAGCCACACTGACCTTCGGCTCCTCCTCAGACTTGCTGTGAGCTTGCTTGCCATGTGCTTAGCATTGCATAGGAGACCCCTCCCCCCACACTAATCCCCTCTCCCCAAGCCCCCCTACCGTCACAGCCCCAAACCCTACCCCCACACCCAACACTCTTCCCCTCACACACAACACCTCCACACCCAAACCCCAACCCCTCCCACACACACCCAACCCCCTCACCCTCACACCCAACCCCTCCCTCACACACACAACACCCCAACCCCTCCGCCACACACCCAACCCCTTCCACCACACCCAACACCCTTCCTCACACACCCAACATCTCCACACCCAACCCCTCCCCCACATAGCCAATCCTTCCTCACACACCCAAAAGCCCCCACACCCAACACCCCACCAACACCCCCCCACACACACCCCTATGCTGTTTCCCTTTGAGTTTTCTTTCAGTCTCGGTTCTCAGTGACGCCCATTCTGGTCTAATTTTTTATGGCTGCCCTGAACTCTGATTCTTCCATCTTGCACTGATTTTGCTTATTTTCTGTCTCCAGTTACAAAGGGAAAATGAACAGACAACTATAAAGCAGAGGTGTTCTGCAGGGGTGGAGTCAAGGTGGGAGAGCTCAGCGCCCTGGAGGTGGCGCCCACGCGCTGGGGTTGGGGGTTCCACGGCGGCTGCCCAAGAGAAGACAGGGACATTGTAGGGAAAAAAAAACACGTAAAAACAGAGTGGAAGGTGTGCAAGGGCGGGGCTGTTGCCTCTTGTCACTGACATTTCCTCAGCAAAGCACAGTGCCCAGCTTCCCCCGCTAGCCTGGGAGCAAGGACAGAAGTGTGAGGCTGAGGCCGGCGAGGAGTGCAGGGGCGAAGGCTGTGGAGGAGGGGGACGGACACTGATGGGCGAGAACCGCACGTCAGGCGGGCTGAGGAAGATGGCCCTGAAGGAAGGACTGGGCTGAGCCTGACGGTCTCAGACGAAGGCGAGCGGCAGGTGCGAGTGCAGAGGAAGGCCAAGGGGACGGCGGTTGGTTAGCGCCGGGTTGGGTCCGCTTTCCTGTTTGCCAGGGAGAGCCGTCAGGCTGTCTGGCGCGTGCTGCCTGTAAACCTGTGAGGGAGTGAATGGTAGAGGGCGGGAGGCCAGGAGAGAGAGGCGGCAAGAGAAGGGGAGGTAGCCTCCAGGAAACTCCCTGTGAAGCAGCTCAACCTTGCAGGTTCCCCCAGAGCCAGCGTGTGGAGAGACAGGAGCTGAGCTTGCCAGTGCAGTGGCCATAGGGCGCGTGGGAGAGAGCCAGCCCCCTCCTGTCCGGGAACTTGGGGCCCCTCCTGGTGTTTTCCCCACTTGCCCTCGCGGGAGCTCGTCAGCCGTCTCCCCAGTTCTCAGTGGCTGTTCTCAACACCAAATGCGTCTGGAGCACGTTTCTGTGCAGAACTCTGGTTTCTGCTTCACCCAGCCCGGGGGCGCGAAGTCATCTCCCCTCTGCCTTCCGCCCCCAGAACGTGATGCCTCTCTCCGCCGGACTGTTCAAGAGCGAGCACAGGAACCCGGTGCCGCAGTGCCCGCCCCGCCTCCACGTGCAGTTCCTGTCCCACGTCCTGTGGAGCAGGATGCCCAACCAGTTCCTCAAGGTGGACGTCTCCCGGATCAGCGAGCGCCAGGGCTGGCTCGTGCAGTGCTTGGACCCGCTGCAGTTCATGTCTCTCCACATCCCGGAGGAGAACAGGTCAGCCCTGCGTCCTGCACTGTCGCCTGGGCCCTGCGAGTCAGGCCACGGCTGGGCCTGCGGCCGTGCTTCTGGGAACAAGGCAAGGCTGAAAACGGCCCCGTGGGGCATGGCAGGGAGACAGCCCCCTGCCCACATTCACTTGAAATCCGTTTCTCAGTCCCTGATGCGAATGTAACACGCAGCTGGGAGGTGGTCGGGAGCTGGGCTCTTTCCACACTCGTGCTGGCGTGGCGAGAGCAGGCAGAGATCCGGGCAGCCCTGCCTGAGCAGAGCCCGGCGCCACCAGATACCAGAAGTGAAGTCATACAGGTCTTCCTTCAGCCCTTTAGTTGACACATGTGGAGCAGAGGCTCGGAGACATTTGTGAGGGAAAACTGAAAATATACTGAGGGTTTGGGAAATGGTGCGGCGCATCTCTGGCACAGTGACGCGTAGACAGCTGCACACACGCGTGTTCTGACTCTGATGCCACTCCGTCGTCGTGTCCCGCACCGGGGGTGAGGTGGAGGGCGCAAGGGGTCCACGCCCTCATGGTTGGAAAGTTGCAACCTGAAACACTACTGGGAATCTTGTTAAGCACCTAGGACTGTTTATTTTAAAATCTGTTGCCATTAAAATGCCACAGACAGCAGTCTGGCGGTATGGTGTTGCTCCATTCCAGCAGGAGCCAGCACCTTATCTGAAGTGAGAGCAGAGCTTTTACCTGGGCTCCTGGGGAATTTGGGGAGCGCCACTGGGGCAGGCTCTTAGAGGTGCTCCAGGGTCGGGGACAGTTCACTCTGTGCTGCTCACAGGGGGACTGGCAGGGGCCCTGTGCAGCCACGGGACAGCCCTTCTCCTTGAAACCAGGGTCCCACGGCGGTTACTGTTCTGAGTGGACTGGCAGCCTCTTTCCGAGCTCCCCAAAGTCCAAGTATCAGGAGAGTGGACTAAGGAGGGTGCTGTATGCAGTTGTAAACCTGTGAGCTTGTCACTGAGGGGCACCGAGGGACCCCAGACTTAAGGGGTCCCTGGTTTAATGTCTTTTTTTTTTTTTAAAGATTTATTTATTTATTCATACAGAACTGGGGTACAGGCCAGAGGCTCAGGGGCGATGAGAGGCTTCACCAGAGACAGAGTGGGGAGCAGAACAGGCAGATCGACGAAGTACACTGCTGAGGGGAGCAGCGGGCGGGTCAGGAGAGGTCTGGCTCGCCATGTGGTCTCCTCCGGGGCAGGCGGCAGGCGGGAATCGAACTCATACGGAAGTGGCTTCAGATTCTCAGTGCTGTGCTTTAACCCGCTGCGCCACCAGGGAGGGCCGGTTTAATGTCTTTTTTAAAGATTTATTTATTTATGCTACAAGAACTGGGGTCCAGGCCAGAAGTACAGGGGGTGAGAAGACTCCCCAGAGACAGAGTGGGGAGCGGAGCAGGCGGCTCTAGTGAAAACCACTGCTGAGGGGAGGGGTCTGCCTCCCCTGTGGGTCCCTCCCTGGTTGGGGATGGAACTCATGCTGCAGTGGCTGCGGACCGCTTCCTAGTGCTGGGCTCTCACCACTGGTGCCACCAGGGAGGGCCCAGGTGCGCGTGATTTAAATAGAGATTTTGCCACCTGCCACATAAAGACAAACGGGAAAGACTCTTAGTGTGATGCATCTTTAATAGCATTAGTGTGCAGAGAGAGAGAAGAAACCGCATCCTAATAAAGCTCCCCAAGTTACCTCTCTTCACGGCAGAGGCCCACTCAAATGGTCAGCCTGAAATTGGCGCAGGCCCCAGGTCCCGAGTTCCCGGAGCTATTCCAAGGGGCTGGATGACGTGAGGCCTGCACTGGGGTGCCCTTCCCGGTGCCATCTCCTCCACTTTGCTGGAGGTTTGCTGGAGGTCCGGCACGCTGGACGCCAGGCGCAGGGCCCCGGGGCCCGTCCCCTTGCATGTTCTCCTCATGGCCCAGTGCTGTGGTTCTCGGTCACCTCTCCGTGACGGCTCCCCTGATTCCTGCCGTTCCGTGGCTGCACACCAACCCGGCTGCCCCCCTGCAGGTCCGTGGACATACTGGAGCTGACGGAGCAAGAAGAGCTGCTGAAGTTCCACTACCACACGCTGCGGCTCTACTCGGCCGTCTGTGCCCTGGGCAACCACCGCGTGGCCCACGCGCTGTGCAGCCACGTGGACGAGCCCCAGCTCCTCTACGCCATCGAGAACAAGTACATGCCCGGCCTGCTGCGGGCCGGCTACTACGACCTGCTCATCGACATCCACCTGAGCTCCTATGCCACCGCCAGGCTCATGATGAACAATGAGTTCATCGTCCCCATGACGGAGGAGACCAAGAGCATCTCCCTGTTCCCCGGCGAGAACAAAAAGCACGGTCTCCCGGGGATCGGCCTCAGCACCTCCCTCAGGCCCCGGATGCAGTTCTCCTCGCCCAGCTTTGTCAGCATTAATCACGAATGCTACCAGTACAGCCCAGAGTTCCCGCTGGACATCCTCAAGGCCAAAGCCATCCAGATGCTGACAGAGGCGGTGAGGGAGGGCAGCCTTCACGCCCGTGACCCGGTCGGCGGGACCACGGAGTTCCTGTTCGTGCCTCTCATCAAGCTTTTCTACACCCTGCTCATCATGGGGCTCTTCCACAACGACGACCTGAAACACATCCTGCAGCTCATAGAGCCCAGCGTGTTCAAGGAGGCCGCCGGGCCCGACGAGGAGAGCGAGGCGCCGGAGAAAGAGCTGGGCTCGGAGGACGCAAAGCTGGAAGCAGCGGGGGAAGGAGAGCTCAAAGGGGGTAAGAGGCCCGAGGAAGGGCTGCTGGAGATGAAGCTCCCCGAGCCGGTTAAACTGCAGGTAGGTGGCGACAGGGCGGTGGGGCTGAGGGGTCGCCATTTGCTTTTCCTCCTCTCGCTCTCGCTGCCTCTCTCTGTCTGTGCGCCTGCACCATAGCTCTTTGCTGAGTGAACCAACTTCCCCTGGTGCGTTGGGTGCGCCAGGCTGCGTCCGCTTTGGGAGCCGACGCAGGCGTTCTCCCGTTGCATCCGTGGACTGTACTGGAGCAGGGCTGCTGCGCTTGGTTCTAGGCAGCGCCCTGGCCGTGGGTGTGGGTGCTGCTCTCTGTTGCTCTTTGTGCTTGCTGTCTGCGAGTCTCCGCAGGAAGCTTTAGAGTCCTTCTGCCCTGCCCAGGCTTCCCCGTTCAGTTCACTAACGATGTCCTTGTCTCTCGCTTGTCTCTGCAGATCTGCCTTTCCTGGCATTCCGCGGCAGGGCCTGAAATGCACGGCGCGCTAGCCCCTTCCCTCCCTCACCCCACTCCTGCCAACCTTGGGGCTTTTCACACCGCTTGCTCCCTTGTTCTTCCCCAGCAGGACTTTGCTTCCTGCACCTGCATCGCTGAGGCATCAGAGACATCTCTGTCTTTGGGCTCATCGATGCCAGCAGGAGTCCTTGTCAATGCCACCTTGGTTCAGTGAGAGCGGTTTGGTCTTTGCATCTTTAAAACATGGTTTGCTCGTTATCTCTCGGTGAACCTTGAGTGGAGTCTTCCTCCGAGCCAGGCACTTGGTGCTGGGAGAAGGGAACGGATCTGGGTTCTGCTTCCAGGACCTGATCATTGCGAGCTGGAACAGGGACATGCATTTATTCTTGCATTTCTTTTTAAAATGCTTCATTGCTCATTTTAGTAAGTGAATGCGATGGAAAGGAATAGATTACTGGAAGGGAGGAAGCGCAACTGGATTAGGTGATAAAAGCATCCCTGAGATGGTGACTCTCAAACTGAGGGCAGATTAATGACCTTGAGCTCTGCAGGTGAAAAACAAGCAGGAAATATGTCTAGGATCTGTTCATGATGGACATAAAGCGTGGCCAAGGCTTTTGTGGCAGGAAAAAGCCAGGAGAGCCGTGGCTGGAGAGCCAAGCAAGAAAGGTGACCTAGAGAGCAGGCGGTTCACACAGAACCTCACCATTTGCTCAACCAACAACATGATGGATTTTGACTTCCAAATGCAGTTGAATCATTGGATAATCTTAGCAGGGGGATTTGATCCTCAAACTCTCAGCATAACTGCTGTGAAGAAATGTGGGGTGATCGAGAACCTTCTTAGTGACAGGCTGTCGTGCTCGCCCGCACTGGGCTGGGCAGAGGGGCCGTGGGTCCCAGGGTTACTTTCAGCCGGACTTTGATGGCAACAGTTTCATCATGAATCGTATACAGAAGGTTTTTATTTTTAAAAATATATTAGCTTATTTTCCCATTGTTTTGTGCCTTTTCCCATGTCAGTTATCATCGCTGTGGCTTCCCAGTAACAGATCAGCCGTGTGCCATCACATAGTCCCGTGCATAGCCCCCCCTTTTTTGATCCTTTCCCTACTCCACCCCTGTAAAATTATCTCTATTATATAGTTGTTCATTATTATTATTTTCTTCCCTGGTCCTTTATGCTCCTGTTATGAGTGAAACCATACGGTATTTTTCTTGTTCTTTCTGGCTTATTTCACTAAGCACGACCCCTTCCAGCTCCACCCATGTTGCTGCCAAAGGCATGAGCACATCTTTTTTGATCACTGAGTAATACTCCATTGTGTGTATGTACCGCATCTTTGTAATCCAGCCATCTGCTTTTGGGCGTTTGGGTTGATGCCACGTCTTCCCTATTGTAAATAAAGCAGCAGTACACATGGGGGGCGCAGGTGTCTTTTCATACCCAGAAGGCTTTAAAGCCCCTTTAATGCTGCTGTTCATATCACTTGTGTCACAACCGGAATGAACTGTATTAACTTTTCTCCTAAAGTTGAGCAAAGCGTTCTCTGGTAGTGATGTTTCTATGAACATGTACCTGCTCCAATTCTTCTGACTTCAGTTAAGAGAATATCCAGCTAACCATTTAATGCATAAACCATTCCAAAACCAGCACCGTGTGCTGGCAGCATCAGGATCGCAGCTGTTAGTGCCTTTCTTTCCTCCTCAGTCTGCGGTTCTCGTCCTGAGATGCAATGCCTCTTTCTTCCCCCACGACCATGTCATTGCCCAGTTATACTCATTTTGAAGAGGGGATCGTCAGTCTGTTATTTATGATGAAAAATCTTCCGTGCAAGACACCTGGAAAACTTTACCTGTAGATCTCCTAGCTCACAGCACTTAAAGGCGCAGCAGAGGCCAAGGGCAGTGAAATGTCCGCCACAGGGTAGGCACTGGACACTAGGCTTATACCAGTGACGTTTCATACCCGGAAGCAAGCAGGACATGGCCTTACAGAGCCAGGAATCTTTTCCTGGAGGAGAAGAGTTGGCAAGTAGCATTTGATTTGATACGCAGATATTGTGTGCAGCTTCAGGGTTAAGTCTGTCGTCTTCAATCATCTTAGATGTGCCTGCTGCTCCAGTACCTCTGTGACTGCCAGGTCCGCCACCGGATAGAAGCCATCGTGGCCTTTTCCGATGACTTTGTGGCTAAGCTCCAAGACAATCAGCGCTTCCGCTACAATGAAGTCATGCAAGCCTTAAATATGTCCGCTGCACTCACAGCCAGGAAGACAAAGGAATTCCGGTCCCCACCTCAAGAACAGGTACAAGAATGGCATGAACATTCTTTCTTTTGAATTGGACTTTGGTTTGTTTGAGATCTATCCATTGCAAAAGTATGTCCTCGGTTTCAAGTGTCTTTTTTCCTGTTCTCTTGGAACTGGCCAAGTTGATCTAGTCAGTATTCTTGGTTTGAACAAAAGAATCTACTTGGTTAGTTTAAGTAAATGAGAGATTTATTAAATGGGTCAGGTACATCATAGACTTTTTTTTTTTTTTTTTTTTAAAGATTTATTTATTCATTCATACAGAACTGGGGTACAGGCCAGAGGCTCAGGGGCGGTGAGAGGCTTCACCAGAGACAGAGTGGGGAGCAGAACAGGCAGATCGACGAAGCACACTGCTGAGGGGAGCAGCGGGCGGGTCAGGAGAGGTCTGGCTCGCCATGTGGTCTCCTCCGGGGTAGGTGGCAGGCGGGAATCGAACTCATGCGGAAGTGGCTTCAGATTCTCAGTGCTGTGCTTTAACCCACTGCGCCACCAGGGAGGGCCCACATCATAGACTTTTTGAGGAGTCTAGTGTACCAGATTCTAAAGTTCTGCCAATAGGAGCCATGTAACAGAAAAGACATGAGGAGACTGAAAGAGAGAGAGAAAGAGAGTGAGACCGTGGAGTAGATGGAAAGTTTCCTGGTTTTTCTTTCTGCCTCACCTGTCCCAGAATTGTAGCTAAAGATGCTGGAGAACAGAAGTGGCAGAGAGCATAGAAGCCCAAGGCAAGTCTCAGCCAGAGGACCAGGAGAATTCTCTGTCTTCTAGCAAGGCAGAACACTTGCCGGTACAGCCGCTCTGGTCCAGTGAAACGCCACTGTGAGTCATACCACACCCTTAGCCCAGGCAGCAACACTGCTCTCTAGAGACGCTGCAGTAAGGTGCGCAGTGGGCTGAGACTTCATTGCCACTGAGTGGTTAGGACACGTCCCAGAGTGCACGGAGGGAGAAGTGCCAAGGCACCCGCCCTTTGCAGGTAGGGACAAGCACATGTCCGCCGGAGACCCGGATCTCTCAACTTCACTCTGCGGACACCAGGTTCCCCCTCCTTTAATTACCCAAAGAAGACTTGTTCCACTTAGCACGTGACACTCTAAACCATGCTCTCGCTACGTACATGTGACGAAGCATGAAGTTTTCTAATGTAACATTCCAATATCCAAGTGTTAATTAGATATGATGCATCGTAACAAGAACCAGGAAACACTCGAATGAAAAAAGGTCATCTGTAGGCATCCACTTTAAAAGACAAAGGTGTTTGAATTATCCAACAGGGGTAGCATGTGAATCTGCAGTGGTTTCAAAATAAAAGTTTAACAAGCACTTATAAAAATCTTTAAAAGGAAAGCTTGGAATGGTCTCCTAAAGGGACATTATGAAATAGCAGTGGGCCTTTGTTGACTCATATACTTAATGTCATTATTCTGTTCAAAATGAAAACAAATGGAAGGCAGCTTCCTTCGGTTTAAAGGGGCCATTAATGTTTGCAAAAGCAGTTATCCATTAGATTTCTTTTCAGTTATATAGTAGATACTTTTTCCTTCTTTGTGGCTATATCTTCAAAAGTATTTGAACTACTCAATAAAATATAGAAATTATAACTAAAACTAGACATCTAGGAGAAGCCTAGGAGCATTTAAGAAAATAACATTCTCACCTAAATTGATTGAAGACCTGTAAGCCTCCAGGGTTTAACACTGAGGAACTGAGGAAGAGGAAATAAATACATGAATTTTCAGCATGCTAAGCTTTGAATGACTTATTTCATCATATTTACTGGCGTGAGTGACGACAACCTTTCATCTGTTGATTAGCAATTTTGGAACACACAATGTTGAACCTCTTTGTTTTTTATGGTCTTTACTATTGTTATGGCTGAATTCACTTTGTTTTACTCTTGTTCTTTCTCTTATTTTTCCAAACTTTCAGATCAATATGCTTTTGAATTTTAAGGATGACAAAAGTGAATGTCCATGTCCTGAAGAAATCCGAGACCAACTCTTGGATTTTCATGAAGATTTGATGGCACATTGTGGTAAGATCTCCCAGACTTACGAGTTTTGTTAAATGTACATTTTTTAACACGTTTACTGAAACAGAAGTAAATATCGATGTAAAAAGATTGACAGGCACACACAGTGCCAGTTAGGACTTCATGTAAGCAGATCTGTGCACATTCTGCACAGGGACTCGAGCAGAAGGGAGACTGGAAGACAGAGAAATGAATCTAGGTTGGTTTAGTCTAAAGGAATTTATTTTTTTTAAGATTTATTTATTTGATGCATACAGAGCTGGGGTATAGGCCAGAGGTGCATGGGCGGTGAGCGTCTTCCCCAGAGACAGAGCAGGGAGCAGAACAGGCCGACTGACGAAGCCCACTGCTGAGGGTAGCAGTGGGCGGGTCAGGAGAGGTCTGCTGCGCCCTGTGGGTCACCTCCGGGAGGGAGATCGAACTCATGTGGAAGTGGCTTTAGCTTCTTAGTGCTATGCTTTCACCCGCTGTGCCACTACGGAGGGCCCAGTCTAAAGGAATTTTAATCACAAACACTTGTACGTAAATTGTTTGAGAAGCTACCTTTGAAACTTACCTTGGATTCAACAAGTCTCTTTTTAAATTAATGCTTAAAGAAGTACTGCATTGGGTTATGTCTGTAGCCCAAATCTATGAAGATCACTCTCCATTCCTTTCATTTTCGGGAATTTTGGTGGGGGTGGCAGATTGGGGGTTGGAATACTGTCTTTAATTTAAAAAAAAAGTCCTCTTTCTCCACATAGAGGTGCTTAGATCCATGTTCAGGATTATCTAAAGGAACCTAAAACTAAGGAGTGAACATTGTTTTAAAGCGAACAGTAATGTAAATAGATATACTAATTAATGAAAAAAATAAGAAACAAATGGAATTGATAAGATGTTCTGGATGTGTGGTTCTTTATCTCTTTATGTAGTGGTGTGAGTAGAGTCCACGGGACTGATGTACGAGGCTTGAGGCAGGTCTAGGCAGTGGTATCCAAAGTCAGGTCAGCCCAATAGTGGAACTGATCTTGAGTTAAAAAGAATATTTTTGCTTGCTTTTATGTATTATTGTTTTAGATGCTGATAGAAGGAGGCTAAAAAAAGGGGAAAGAAACTAGTGAACGAATTTTATTTCGGAGCGCTGGTGGACAAGCATGCTTCTGTCATATTTTTCAGTCACAGTTTTTGTCATATAGTTCAGACATGGCAGCATGCTTAAAGCTACGAATTTAAGCGATGAGCTTCAACTGTCTGTGAGAATTATTTCTCTTAAATGTATTTTTAAAAACTCCCTCTGTCTCTCACTTTGTCCTTCTCTTCACTTCTCTCCTACTAGGAATTGAGCTAGATGAAGACGGGTCCCTGGATGGAAACAGCGACTTGACCATTAGAGGACGCCTATTCTCCCTGCTGGAAAAGGTGACCTACCTGAAGAAGAAGCAAGCTGAAAAACCCATCGAGAGTGACTCTCAGAAGTCCTGTAAGCAGAGTGGTGGGGCACTGGGAGAGTGAGACATTTATGAGTTCTTTCAGCAGATACCGTAGTCCATGAATTCGTGAGGTCATTGTGTTTGCAACTTCCAAGCATCAGATTCATCAAGCTGTAACGTGTAGAAACAGATGGAATGATAGCATTATCAGGGAGGATGGGGCCTGATGCTCCTGGAAATAGTAGTGTTTGGAGACTATCAGGAGAAAGGGTTAGGGCGAAATTGGTTTCTAAATATTGTGGGCATGATGTCCATCTACTCATGCATTGAGTTAAACTTCTCTTCAAGTGGTTATTGTCCGGAACTGTATTTTGGTTCTGAAGTATTTTTTGAAGTGCTCCGTGTTTCTGTTCATCCATATTATAGTTCACTGAAGGAAAACTATTACTATTCCAAACCTAGTGAAAAGGTTGGGACAGAGAGTCTTGCTCATCTAGAAAAAGGCAGGTCTGTGAGAGCTTGCTTACTTGTCGCATGTCTAGCACTTTGATTATTTCAAGGCACCATGCTGCTTCATTAACAACTTTGCTTGAAAGAAAATAAAATGAACGCATGAACTACTATACAGATTTTTAGGGTATTTAATTTAGTTTATTTTTACCAACTTAAAGTGGAAAACCTTTTAACAATTACTTGTATGTTTATTCTTAAGGACTGCAATGAATTTAAAATCTGATCTTTAAAATTAGAGTTCATAATTTCTTATAAATCATTTTTAGTCATTATCAGGCCTGTGCAATTGGTATTGATTAAAAGACCATGAAAACATGGTCTCGAGACTGGCATTTTATCTGCATTTTGTATTTGGTTAAAATTGGTAGGTTTTTATTTTCCTTAAGTAGTGTTTTGGTTCAGATAAAATCACTTTTGAAATCAGTGAGTGTCTTTATCATAGAAGTAAGTTCCTCACTATGTCTGAATGGTAATATCAGTTGTGCCTGGGCTTGATAATATGCTATTTATTTTAAAAGGACTGAACATTCCGTTCCTTTTAAGTATACTAGCTAACACAAATAACCATGCATCTAATAAGCTCACTTAAATATAGCTTTCCAATCAAATTCATTTGATGACATTTTCAATCAAATTTTAAGTAGAAATAGAATTATATGAGGTCACAACTGCAAATGACTCCTATGAGAAGACATTTGGCTAAGTAGATAGATCCCTAGATGCCTGTGACTGACTATATACAAATGTTTGGTGTCTGACCTTTGGAGAGCAAGATAATGGAACAAGAAAAATAAAAGTAAAGTAAGAGGTCAACTTATGTTGATGGTTTTGTGGATTCCCAACAGTGATTTTGGAAAGAAAAAAAAAAATGACTGGACTTTGAAACAGCTTAAACTCTTCCATTCTAAGACTAGCTTTGAAGGAAAAGCTTGTCTGTCTTATCCTTGCTTGTCCATAACTTATTTTTATTGATACATGGTGTCTGTTTAAATGAATTTTATTATTTTCTTCAAAGATTATCCGTAGCTTGTTGAATTCTGGTCTAAATAGAGACGTGTGGTCGGAGGCTGGACGGTGTGTCGTTGGAATGCTCAACTAATCTGTCTTCCTTTATTGCTTTCTTAAAACACCCACGACACTTGGCAGCGACGCTTCAGCAGCTGATTTCTGACACGATGGTCCGATGGGCTCAAGAGTCCGTCATCGAAGACCCGGAGCTGGTGAGAGCCATGTTTATGCTGCTGCATCGGCAGTATGATGGCATTGGGGGTCTGGTCCGAGCTCTGCCAAAGACTTACACCATCAATGGTGTTTCTGTGGAGGACACCATTAACCTGCTGGCATCTCTGGGGCAGATTCGCTCTCTGCTGAGTGTGAGGATGGGCAAAGAAGAAGAGAAGCTTATGATTCGTGGATTAGGGTAAATTGACTTTTACAACCTTTGATTTATAAATTTCTTCTTTCTAATTGTTTGTCCCCATAATTGTATAGAAGGTACGTTAATACAAATGCTCCTTCTGGACTCCATGATGATTAAATTAAGCTTGTTCTTTTTCTAGAAATTTTGTTTTAACGCTAAATAGGAAGATCTTCCTATTAGGTTTCCTTTTCCATAAGAAAACTTGAATAATTCCAAAACTGTATACAAAGGTTGCTGTGTTAAACAACAGACATCCTACAGCTTGTTATTTTATTAATTTCTCATTAATGGCTGCTTCAGAATTGTTGAAAATCATGCATTCACAGATTCATGAAGTACAATATAGCTTCACATCTACGTATACGTGGATATGCGACAAGTTAACAGAAAGCCAGGAATAGACTGCTTTGAAACACAAGTAGAGGGGAAAACAGTACTTGCAAGAAACATTACTTTGCATATTCAACAATAAAGCTAGAGACTTTGATTCAGAGAAATGCCACACTGAAAGTTCTGATAGGAAATAACCATCAGTTTAGAGTATTTTCTCAATCGAGGACTGAAGGCAATGACATTGTTCTTGGTGTAAATTTGGAGATTAGAATTTCACCATAATAACACCTAAACATGACAGAAAATAGACAACTATAATTATACATATGAGTGTAAAACATAGCAACTAAACAGCAGATATATGAAAAGGAGATGTTTGCATATTAAAGTTTCTATAGGAATTTTCATAAAACTATGGTATGACACTGACATATTGTTGAGCACATCTTTATAACCGTAACATTAGGAATGATGTGTCTAAAACTATTTCATACAGACTAATACCTGTATATGCAGCACATTTCGTGTCAGTGAGACGAATGGCCTTTGCTATTGTTGGTAAGCTATCAACACTTTTTAGTAAGACTCAGTTAATTGTGCTGACAAACCTCTGTGACTTAGGTACATTTGTTCTTATTTTTCATGTATGCCAGGCAATATTTCAAAAGGATTAGTGAGTCTATCAGATACGTTTTGATTTAAATTTTGCTCTAAACTCTGTGCCCCGCCCCCACACCTACATTGTCCTCTTTAGAGACATCATGAACAACAAAGTGTTTTACCAGCATCCAAATCTCATGAGGGCCCTCGGGATGCACGAGACGGTGATGGAGGTCATGGTGAATGTCCTTGGAGGTGGCGAGTCCAAGGTAAAGGGAGACTTCCTTTCCTACCCGTGGGGTTCCACTGCGTGGAACCTCCTAGCATCCATTCATTGCACGTTCTTAATGAAATTTTTTTTATGACTTTCTTCTTAAGAGATTTCTTTTACTTAAGCATATAAGAGCTATGGTGTAGGCAGATATGTGGGGGTGAAAGATTCATTAGAGACAGAATGGGGAGCAGAACAGGCAGACTGACTGAAATACACTCCTGAAGGGAGTAGCAGGGAGATGGGAGGGGTCACTCCCTGGCCGGGAATTGAACTCAAGCCTCAGAGGGGATGACTTGATAGCGCTGAGATTTTAACCCCTCTACCACCAGGGAGGCCCAAGAATTTCTGTATCTCCTTAGGAGGACTGTTTTTAAACAAAGACCTTTGGAAAACAAAACAAAACAAACAAGTAAAACCTTACAGATTGACCACTCAGAGTCAGGAAGGGGCCACAGGAGACTGGCTGTGAAGAGGCCAGCCATGGCTACGAGAGAAGAGGCCACGAGGGGACACCAGAGGAACCCAGAGAACAGAAAGCATAGTGATTCCTAGGGGGTGCCAGGCGCTGTCTCCTGCTGGGGTGCTCCCACTATGCTGTGGAGACGTGCCCAGAGCTCCAAGTTTCTCTTCAAGCTGCCTGAACCAAGAATGAACCTCCCGGGCCGGGATCACTGCAGAACAAGTGGCCTTGACTTCTAGCGCATGCTGTGCTGCATTTCGGTTTAGGACTGTGGGTTAACTCCAGGTTAGACTGTTAGTGGTGATGAGATGCTGACCTTAGCCCCAGTCTTGACTTTGAGTAGCTTGAGGACTAGGTGAGTCTAAGTCTGGGCATGTGAAGGTCTGTACTTCCTGAGACTTGGCGGAGTTGTATCATCTGGAGGAGCATGTGCTTGAGCCCTCACGCTCTAGAATCAGTTTCATGAAGGTCATTTGCTTCCACAGCTGGCTCACTTGATGCTCTTTATTTATTTTGATTTGTATAGATCCATTTACATCATTGTGCATTTATAAAATGTTTACTTCCCCTCCCCCTCATTACAGTGGCTAACTGCTCTTTATGTAGGAAATCACTTTTCCCAAGATGGTGGCCAACTGCTGCCGCTTCCTCTGTTACTTCTGTCGGATAAGTCGGCAGAATCAGAAGGCGATGTTCGACCACCTCAGTTACCTATTGGAAAACAGCAGCGTGGGTCTCGGTAAGCAAATGTGTGGCTTTCACTTGATCTTTAACATATGAAGAATATACATATTCGACTGAAGAACTAAACTTTAATGTGAATTCACATAGAGGCATGCAATATGGATGCCACATTGAGAAGTTAAATTTTAAGCAAAAGCAGGTTTTTGACGGAAGTCGCCGTTGCAGTATTACCCAAGTTTCGCTTCACCTTGTTTGTGTGAGCAGCCTCCCCAGCTATGAGGGGCTCAACCCCCCTGGATGTGGCAGCGGCTTCCGTGATGGACAACAATGAGCTGGCCTTGGCGCTGCGAGAGCCAGATCTGGAAAAGGTACGATCACCCCGCCTCACCTCCAGGGTCCAGGTGCGCATCGAGCCAGAGGTCATTGCACAGTTTGAGTCTTTGTTCATAGGTAAATGTTTCGGGGAAATGATAGGAAATGTTGTCCCGAGCTGGTTCACAAATACGTTATAATGATAGGCTTAAAACATCTCTGGACTTTAGGTTCTACCAAAGGGAGTTGATGTGGATGTGATGAGATTAACGAGAACTCGCGGAACACGTTTGCGTTCAGACGACCCTCGAGGATCGCCTTTACCGTATGTAGTAGAAGTTTCCAATGCTTAGGAGTGATGATGCTTTTCCTTCTCACCTTGTCTGTAGGTTGTTCGATATTTGGCTGGCTGTGGACTTCAGAGTTGTCAGATGCTGGTGTCCAAGGGTTACCCAGACATTGGTTGGAATCCAGTAGAAGGAGAAAGATATCTGGACTTTCTCAGATTTGCTGTCTTCTGCAATGGTAGGATTGAGTGCTTGGAGTCTTTTTTTTCTTGGTTACTATTAAAACGGTAGGTGTGTAAAGTAATGATCTCTCGGCATTTTCATGCAAGTACATGTTAGTGAAGAAATTGAATGCTACACAATCAGTTGTATTGTTTCAAAGTGATTATTTTGCAAATTTGCTAGTGATGCTGTATTTTCATTATTAAACTTTTCAGGCACCCACATTCTTACAAATGATTATAGCTGGATTCTAATGAGATGACAGCTTCATTCCCTATAATGCATTAATAAAAATAATTTCCTCTTTCATAATCTTTACTTTTATAACTTCAGGTGCAAAAACAAAAAATATTTCACTGTGTCATCTATACATAAAACTAGTAGTTTGGGCTAAATTTTGCTTTTACTACTGTGCTGGTTTTAGTTTAAATACAAATTAATTCATGTAACGCTGATTTGCTTAGAACTTCCACATAATCAACGCTCGCTTGTTTGTCATCCCCCATTTGATCTTAGGGGAGAGTGTGGAAGAGAATGCAAATGTGGTGGTGAGATTGCTCATCAGGAGACCTGAGTGCTTCGGTCCTGCACTGAGAGGAGAAGGTGGGAATGGCCTACTTGCAGCCATGGAGGAAGCCATCAAGATAGCTGAGGACCCTTCTCGAGATGGCCCCTCACCGACGAGCGGATCCAGTAAAACCCTGTAGGTCTAGTATGCTAAGTCTGAAGAATAAATTACGTGACTTGAGTAAATTATACTACTCGACTTGAAATTTTACAAACCTGTTTTTTTGTTTTATTAATTGCATCATAGGGGTACTCACAATCTGTCCCCCTGAACATCACATATGCCACACATGGAAGAATGGATGGAATGAACGGGTGGAATAGGTTGCATGAGCAGAGAACCTAGGAAGGCTGTTTGGATTGAGTAGAGAGATCAGGTTATAGGAAGAGATGACCATCTCAGGAGCTATAGCAACAGGTGTTGTTACAAAGATGGCAGATAAACCTTTGCAGTTTGAGCAGAATTGAGTGGGAGCTGAACACACTGAGTTTGTATGCTAGTGAGAAAAGATCTTGCAAGACATACAGAAATGCATTGTAGCCTAAGAATGAGTGGAGGGGAGTTTCCAAGCAAAGGAACAGTTCCACACGCCCTTGTTTGCTCTACCTAGACTGGACATCAGTGTTCTGGATACACCAAGGCAAGCTGGGAGCATCCTCAGGCATGTGAGCTATCTCTCAGTTAGGGACTAGGGGTCCCTTAGTTTCTCTAAGAAGCAAAAAATGTACGCGAGCCCTCTGGCCCGCGATCAGCCCAGTGAGTGTGCGTCAGGGCCTCTGGGGACAGAGCCCGTGTCAGGAATCACGACAACATGCCTTGCTGGCAGTCATTGCAGAGTCCAGCAAGGTAGAAGTTGGCTCAGCCACCAAGGGAGAGTTGCCGTGATGTGCCAGAGCCGTCCATAGTTGACCCTCACTAGTGAGATCATGAAATTATTTTTCTTACAGAAAGGAGGAGGGAGACATGCCAGGTTACTGGGGAGTGAATAGGCAGGGCAGATGATACGGAAATAGGAAACAGGTAAGCCCATAAATGTAGTGACATTTGTCCAGTGGTTACTTTGGGGAAAGCACAGTGCTGGGACGCTCTGACAGGGTAGCTCCTCATACAGAGCTCTGTCGTCCTCTCCGACATGTAAGGCAAGATCTCCCATCAGCTATTTTCGGATACCCTGCGCTGTTTGCCACTAGAAATGAAGGCCCATTGAAGACATGGAGGAACCTTAATGTTAAAATCCACACAAATACGTTCTTGATAGACTCTCAACTTTGCCCTTTAGCCATTGCTATTTTTTTTTTAACGTTTCACATTTAAAAATTAAACACGTATATTACGGGTATCTTAACAGGCAGAGTCGGGTGCCCTAGCTGATCCCTGTCCTCTGGGGAGTATGTCATAAAGCTTTATTAGCTTGTCACTTTATTATCCTGCTTGCTTTGCTTTCTTTTTCTTGTGAAAAATCCATGGAAGTGACCTAGAAGAGGAGGAGGATGACACGACGCACATGGGGAACGCCATCATGACCTTTTATGCAGCTCTGATCGACCTGTTGGGACGCTGTGCTCCCGAAATGCACGTAAGTGCCCGGGGACCCAAGAACATCTACCTCCGTCCACTCGTGGTTGGTGACGGTCACAGCAACATTCAAACCAGCCACCTCCAGGCTCCATGGAGTAGCAGCTGTTGTCTGGTTGCTGGACACTTGTTTATTGAGTTGGAAATATCTCACTGGCTTTAAAAAATTAGTAATAAGATTTTGGTTCAAGTCACAACAATAGACAGCTGTCTGGCTCTTGTCTGGGCCGGATTTTGTGCCTGTGTTTAACACCGGTGGGGAGGGGTCCCCACCCCCGTGGTTCTGAGCCTGCAGCTGTTCCAGAGTCTGGCTGAGACTCCTGATTTCATCAGATCCACGCTCTTACAGGGTCTTTGTTAGCCCACAGCAGACCGAACAGTCTGTCTTGGTTCACACTCCCTACAACCCCCACAATATGAAAGTTCCACGTTACTAACCCATCTTTGGGAGAAATCAGGGGGAAGCTGGATGGATATATAACTGCATTTTAGTCACCTACCAGAACGAGGCCAAATCAATTAAATACTAGTATATGCTCAAGACCCGAAGGTGCTTTTCTCTGTTACTGCCCATGCTGTGAATAGGGGCTTAGACACCATTCTGGGGCAGGATTGGGTAAGCTCTCATTGGCTTATCAGACGTTCGGTGCATTTCAACTCTTCAAAGCAGGTAAAGCCTTTTGTTTAAAGGACTAACCAGTTGCTGTAGATTAATGCAGAACTGAGTGTGTGAGTCAGAGCAATGAGCATCTCTCTGGCCTACGCGGCCATTTCTGTACATGTAGACTTCACACAAAATTACCTTACAGTGGTGAATTGCAGTTGACTTCATACATTTCTATTTTGGAACTTACATTGTTATTATGAACGTAATAACACACTGCAAAATTTCTAGATCAATCTTAACATTGATTTCACTGTTATTCTAGTGATTTCACTGTTACTCTAATGTTCCCTTATTTTTCTTCTCAGTTGATTCATGCTGGTAAGGGAGAAGCCATCAGAATCAGGTCTATTTTGAGATCCCTGATTCCACTGGGAGACTTGGTGGGGGTCATCAGTGTCGCTTTTCAGATGCCGACAGTAGCCAAAGGTAAAGCCAGATTCCAGTCTTTTTTTTTTTTTTTTAACATTTATGTATTGATGTATTAGAACTGGGGTACAGGCCAGAGGTCAGGGGGTGAGAGTGGGGAGCAGGACAGGCAGATTGATGAAGCACACTGCTGAGGGGAGCAGCAGGGAGACCATTGAGGTCTTCTGCGCCCTGTGGGTCACTCCCTGGCCAGGGACCGAACTCCTGCTGCAGGGGCTGTGGACAGTCCATCGTGCTGAGCTTTAATTTAACCTGTTGCGCTACCTCAGAGGGCCCAAGAACATACCCTAATTGAAGCTTGATGAAGTTCACCATTTTTCTAGGCACAGGTATATGTGAAAATCATAGGTTCTCATTTGTTGAACTTCCCTGTACTGTGATTTTTCGGAGGATCGAACTGAGATGTCATGTAGGTTTTTCATTGAATATTTTAACATGTTGATTTGACATGAAGGGTTAAATCAACCAAGCTTGGAGTTTAATTCCAATTTTATACACTTTAAATCTACATTTACCAATTACTGATTATACAACTTGGACAAATTCTTAACTGCCCTCTAGGTTAGTTTTCACAGTCTGTTAAATGAAGCTAAGAAGGTCAGGTTTCTAAAGTACTTTTAAAAAAGGCATATAGTTCATGTCCGAAACATCCCTAGCATCAGGCTTGACACCAGCAGCTTATTTCTATGCCCGGTGTAGGAGAAATGTATTATGTGCTCTTGTAATTAAAAGGAAAGGAAGCTACTTGGTGTTAGCCTTTCACTTCCTTTGAAACATTGTTATTGTTTTCATGATATAAACATCAGATTCATCATTTAACTATAAATAAAAAGTTGGGGTTTGATGCCTTCAGAAGAACGTGTTTACATATCATTTTTCCATTGGTGCCTTTTTCTCTAATATTTCACCAATATTAAAGATTCTGTGATATGTATTAGTAGCACTTTGACATAAATATGACATGGTTAAGCAGGAAGCTAGCCAATTCTCTGATATTTTAAATTGGCACGTAATCCCATAACTCCATATTCATGGGACCCGATTTATCGATCTATGGATTTATTGTGATTCAGTAATTTATACTGGAATCAAACATTCACTGTTAGTAGAGAAAATAATGGTGCTCAGCTGTATTTGAGACGTTGTTAAAGCTCTTACAGAAACATTTCATTTGAGAGTCAAACTGCATTCATAGATAGAGCTGCTTTCATTTGTCTGACTTATCAATACACCATGATCATCACTATGGGATGATACATCTTAGTAATATTGCAAAGAGACTCTCGTTCCACAATGGAGAATTCTGGATACCTTTTTATTGTCCTCTCTGTAGCGCTTCACAGGATGTAACTAACAAATAGATTACAAATAACACATTCCCTCGGATTTAAGTTGCTGGTCTCATTTGTGGAGTCAGTTCCTAGGAGTTGATTGTGGGCAGTATAAGAAGAGAAAACCTTTCAACTGGTAACTTTCTTTAAATCATGAGAGCACCAAGAAGACTGTGTGTAATCTGCCTCATGAAAGGCGTTCACATCAACGTGTCACTGTCTTTCTTTTAGATGGCAATGTGACGGAGCCCGACATGTCTGCGGGATTTTGTCCGGATCACAAGGCAGCCATGGTTTTGTTCCTTGACAGGGTCTATGGCATTGAGGTTCAAGATTTTCTTCTCCATCTTCTAGAGGTTGGCTTTCTGCCAGATCTCCGGGCTGCTGCTTCTTTAGATACGGTACTGATCTAAAAGTTGATTTCCTCATCGTTTGACTCTCAGCCTCAGACTTGCAACATTTTTTCATAGATGTATTCATTCATTTACTGTTCATAAATACTTACTGACTAGCTACTATAGTTTCAGACAAGCAGTGGGTAAACAATGAATAGGCTATGCCTACAAGTGATTCACTGAATCGTAGGAAAAACTGACCTCAAAACTCAGATAAGAATTCTGATCAGGTGTTGTGGAAGATGATAGGACATTTGTGTGACCCAAATTCAGACGGATCATGATATTGACCTTGAAATTGGTCTAAGTGTATATATATACAGTTTCTCAGGAAAAGTAATTTACATAGTAAGAGGGCTTAAAAGACATTGTTGGATTGTGGCTATTACTATATCATCCTGATGTCTTTTTAACATACAAGGAAGGTTGACGTCTGTCTTGTCTGTTGATGGTTCCGCATGGTGAATCCGCCATCCTCCGTGTAGATGTTCTGCTCTTTGAACATCATAGAATCAACCTGTGTTCTAGATGTTACACTAGTAGTTATAACAACGCCTTTTCTCATCTTTGATTAAATGTTTCTTTCTGATTTTAGAGGAAAGCATCATGACTTGGCAGTAGCTCTTTCCATGAAAGGCATGAGACTTCTCTCATCATCATAAAAACGAAACTGAAATTTCTGTTGTTGCATATGTTTAATGTGAAGTTCTGAACCTATGAAGTGTCATTGCGAACATTAGAACAATCAGCCTTTGATTACTGATGTTGGTAGACATGACTCGAAATATAAATAATATTGATAAACAATCAGAAAGAATTTAGAAACCTGAGGCCCATCCTAAAAATAAGCTCCTTTGACGTTTCCCTCTGAAGGAAAGTACTTAAACCTTTTGGTGTCGTCAATGTTTTCACCTTGCGTGCAGCACCTCTCTTAGTGACACTGGCTGTTGATTATGGAGCTCGGGCTTACAGGAGAGAAATGTCACCTCGCTCACTTTTACCTCTTTATGCATAATTAACAGTTGAATTTTCACTGATAAAATCAAGTGAGTCCCATTTGCATCTATAACAAGGCATCTATTTCCGTCCTTAGTATTTGTGGATGTTCTTGTTGGTGAAATTACACGTCCACAGACCAGTGCACTGGAGTGTTGTCTGACGAACAACCACGTTGCACTCTCCGCCCTTGCAGGCTGCACTGAGCGCCACAGACATGGCCTTGGCCCTCAACCGGTACCTCTGCGCCGCCGTGCTGCCCTTGCTCACCAGGTGTGCCCCCCTCTTCGCTGGCACCGAGCACCACGCGTCCCTCATCGACTCGTTGCTTCACACCGTGTACAGACTTTCCAAGGGCTGCTCCCTGACCAAAGCCCAGCGGGATTCCATTGAAGTTTGCTTGCTCTCTGTTTGTGGGTAAGTGGGCACCGAGCCCTCTCCCCCTGGATCATTGTGTATTGCTGTCTACCACTGGGACAAAGGTGGGCACACAGCAATTTTTAAAAAAAAATTACCCATTTACATGTTGAAATAGCACTGCAGTATAACCTTCGTTTCAGGTGTAAACAGCGAGATCATCATGCGTATAATACATCAGAGGCACTGGCAAGACTCGACTTCTAAGCTCTGTCGTGACACAGCCCTGCTTCTGTTCTGCCCACCCCGTCCCCTCCCCCACCCCTTCCTGTAGCCACTAATGGAACTTCTAGCCCCCAGATTTACTTTTGTTTTATTTACTTCATCTGTTTGTTTATGTGCACATATAAGTGAAATCATATGATATTTGTATTTTTTTTTTGTCTGATTTTATCAGACCTGGTGTCTTCTAGGCCTCTGTGTTTAAAAATGGCATGATTTTATCTTTCTGAAAGCTGAATAGCATTGTGTTGTGTGCAAATATCCCATCTTATTTTTTTTTTTTTTTTTGGCAAATATCAGAAGTAGTGGGATTAAATGAATCTTATGGACTTCTATTTTTATTTCTTTTTAAGAATCTCCATGCTGTTTTCTACTAAAATTCCATCCACAGTTTCTAAGTTTTCCTTCTCCTCACATCCTTCTCAACACTAGTTTCTTGTATTTTAGCCACTCTCACAGCTGTGAGGTCCCAGATACCCCAACTTTATTCCCCTTTACGAAAGAAAATTTGCTTCGTGGCCACCAGATTGTGACTTGGGAAGTAATTTCTGCACTACATATTCAATTCCTGTAGTTAGTCCTGTGACCTGAGCATTCATCTTACTAGAATGCTCGTGGATAGTTAGGTTTTCCAGCGCTCTCTAGTTATCCAGGTATTGGCGATCGTGTTGACCACCAGTCATGCGGTTTTGGGGTGATTATGTGAGGAGCCTGGCTGCGTTGTCTAAGGTGTAGAATCCGCTGTGTATATAACATCGTCTTGGTACATTCTTCTGTTTGGGGACTTTTGGGCAGTTTCCACAATCTGGATCCGTTAAACAGGGCTGCCAGAAACGTGGGAGTGAAATTTCCTTCCAGATCAGTAATTTTGACTTTCTCAGAGAGTTGCCTAGGACTGGAACTGACAGGATTGTTTTCATCTTATGAGACACTTCCACACTGCTTTGCATGTGGGCTGGACCTGTCTGTGTTAATACGTGAAATATAGAAAAAAAAAATAAAACAGCCAGATAAAGACAGTCTTACAAACTAACCCTTGAAAATTGACGACAGAAGTAAAGCATAGAGGAGGGAGGGAGGGGAAGGGGTGGGGACAGAGGGAAGGAAGTGCAGTGGACTGCGGTGATGGAATATGGGGGATTTAGAGGTTGGCACACTATGGTGATTCCGGATGTGGGGGAGAATCCTCCAGTTACCTCAATTGAAAAATTAATAAATAGAAGGCCCACTTTGTCTACCCAATTAAAAAAAGTTATATACAATTTAGTGACACACACACACACACACAAATCATGTTTTTTTCCTTTAAAAAATTTAGGTTACTTGATTTTCCCCTCTTGACTGTGATGGTTTTAATTTACCTTTCAGGAGAGAAACCTTAACATGATAGTATCACTATTAATTTTTTTTTAAATTATGTAATTCCTGGTTAATTTTGCATTAGGAAAACATAATTAACAACATCTGATGAAAGGCGTCGGCACCAGCCTGTCGCTAATATAATTTAGCTTAAGAAATTACCTACTTAATTTAGACACATTTTCCTTCATTATTAAAATCAGCTTTGTTCCACCAGCCAGTTGAGACCTTCGATGATGCAACATTTACTCAGAAGACTGGTGTTTGATGTGCCCTTATTAAATGAACATGCAAAGATGCCTCTTAAGGTAAGTACAAGACATACTCTTATTTCTCGTCATTTCTTGTCTTGATGTGTATTTCTCTTAGATATAACATGCTTGGTCTTTGGTGCTAGACGAGTTGTTCCAATTTTGTTTGCAATGGACATATATAGGTATGTCTACCTAAACCCCAAAATAAATAAGTTATACATTGCAAGATTGGTTTCCTGTGTCAAGGAAATGTAAATCAGTGGGCAAAAGCAGACCATCATGAGAACATGAAGCAGGTATGTGTGGACTGGAAAGCAAGGTAACAGGCCAGGCCTAAAATATCAGCAACCTCAAGGAGAAGGAGAAGACTGATTTCCAGAGAAAACAATATTCTCTAAATTGGTAATCAGGTGACACTTTCCAAATATCATTTCCTGGGATTCAGACGGTCTTTCTTATCGGCAGGTAGAGTTTGTCACGGAGTATAGAAAAGCCATTCGTGTTCTCTGCACAGCTTTATTATTCTGAGCATGAATGGCCGCATCTCAAATGTCTTCGTGATTTTTTAGATCTTTTCCGATCACCAGCTGTCTCCTTCCAGACTCAGAGAACTTGAGGTAGCCTTGTAATGTAACAGCGTGGGCTTGGAGACCATGGCCATATAGTGACTTCTCTGTACTGCCATATCTAGGCCTCACTTTACCCGTAATGGTTTGATAAAAACCCTGAGTTTGCCATGTAAATGAGTTGAGTTTTTCACTGGCATTACATTAAGCATCCCTAGACATTTATAAAAAATAATTGTTCTGCCAAAAATTTTTTTGATTATGTTTGCTTAGGTAAATTAATGAACTATGTAAGTTCTATCCTTGCTAGAAATCTTTTTTACAGTTTGTCAGCCCTTGTTTAAAGCTTTCTTCATAAAATAAGCCAGAAGATACTTGAACAAAGATACACTGCCTCTGTGTGAAAAAGTCTTGTACATTAAAGATAATGACATGTTAATCCCAAACAAATTAAATCTTAATATTTCTCAGTTGAGATTTGTAAGTTGCATATATGCGCGTCTCTCATAACTGAGATGGAGAACAAACTAGAAGAAATGATTTTATAGCCATGGATTTGGTTAGTTTTAATAACAAAAGGCCTCATCAACTTATTTTCTGCCTTAGCTATAAAAAAGAGTGTCAAAATCTATGCTTGTGTCATAGAAATTATCTTATTAATCTGGCAACTACTTGTGACTCTTCATCACTTTATAGATGAATACAAGGGCTGCCACACTGAGGAATGATTCTCCTCTTTGAGCTTCCAGTTCAGTCCTTAGCAAAGAAGACTTGTGTATGTGAAAACTTACACACGCTATATGTGACGCAGTAAATTGCAGCCACAGCCACCAGAGAAATGGAGATTACCGACGTAATCAGTACAAAGAAATAGAAGATGTGACGCAAATCACAGTGGTGATTAAGGGCAGGCAAAGAAGAAGCAAGACATACTTAAAAGCACCATGCGTCCCTAGAATGCCCCTATGAGCTGCTGCACACTGTTTGTGCTGTTGGGTCACCCTGACATGGGTCCCTTTGCTAGGTGCATGGATTCTGGGACGTGACTCCTAAATGGTAGCGGCTGAAGCAGGACTCAGGAATTCAGGGAGCCTCCAGTAACCACCAGCAGGGTGCTGCTAAGATAGTTATTTGTAGAAATGGGTGTTTGTTCCTTTTTCTGTGACCGGTGATAAGATTTAAAGACATGGCAGACAGAGCTGCAGTATTCCCCAAGATTATGCAAGTAAGAATTTCATTTCAGATGAACTCACTCCGTGGCGTTAGAATGCCAAGAATAGGAAATGAAAAAAGAAAAGTAAAAAATAAATGTCTCTAACTCATCACTTTTATAATTGTTTTCCCATGTAGCTGTTGACAAATCATTATGAAAGATGTTGGAAATATTACTGTCTGCCCGGAGGGTGGGGGAACTTCGGCGCTGCCTCAGAAGAAGAGCTGCATCTATCAAGAAAGTTGTTCTGGGGCATTTTTGACGCCCTGTCTCAAAAGGTGCTTTAATTTCTGTGGGCTTGGGTGATAAGGTAATTAAAAAGCCATAGGTTCTTGGTAAGAAAGCATCCTCTGTGGAATGCTTGTCAAGACTTCCATAGCTTTACAGTTTCCCAACTTACAATAAATGAGGAAGGTGAGATTTATATTGATTTTACAAAATCACTTTGGTAATAGGTTCCTTGTGACCACACCCTTTAGAACTCAGTGTTCTAGAGCATTTCAGGAAATTACGCACGTTTTGATCAATTTCTGAGCATTTGGTCTGACTTGCAATCAAACGTGACCTAGCCACTACCCCGATCTTACAAAGACTGAAGAAATCTTACAAAATGCAAAAATACAGCACTTTTCGAGGCTCTAATATCCCAGTGACCTTTGCCATTTCACTGCTGTGCACATTTATGCCTGCACCCAGTAGTGTTTTAGAGATGTGACATCCCCTTTCAGTTGCATAGTTACACTAAATGTTCATATACTTGCAGAAGAAAAGGATTAGTGTTTCAGAGTTGAAGCAGCTCTGTATACCAGTGCTTCAAATATGTGTCAAAACTAGTTTGAATTCCAAGATATTAGTCAGTGACTGTAATACTAAAAACTGGAAGTTTGCTGCACACTAGGGAAGTTTGTCTGAGTACTGTTGATAGATACAACTTTGATGACATTTCTTACTTAACTGCCTGCAGTAAAGGGTAACACATGTACGGCATTTTTAGAAAAAAAATTACAGCATGAAGTTAAAATTGAACTTTGAAGTAACTGAAATTATTATTTTTGTTTTTAGAAATTATAAATACAAATTTAATTATGGAACTAACAGAAAAACACCTCTCCCCAGATATTTTGATTATGCTTACTTCCTGTGGAGTTTCTTCCCTGGTTCAGAATTTTGTTTTCGTGTCTTTGTAATACAATACAGCTTGGTTAAAATTTCTTAATCTTGGGTTGTTATCCGTTGTGTATTTTTCATGCACCAGTCTTTATAACATAGGTTAGCAAAAACGTATAGATGGCAGTCAGGTGCATAGTGCTCGTTGAGTGAAAATAAGTTCATTTTATAAAGACAAGTTGTTCAGAATATTCATATGTGTTGCCAGTACTAGAGAGTAAGCTTTCAGGCCAGAGAGGACTGTTCCAGTTATTATTATTATTATGTTCCAGTTACAATAAATCTAACTAATTTTTTCTTAGAATTGATGGGACTTCAGGCTTTATATTCCATTTTAGAGGAGGAATCTGTCAAGAGAGTTCATTTAGCCCAGGGTAATTCAATGTCCTCTTACCACATCCTGTCAGCCACAGTGATTATACTGATAAGCCCCACCAAGATGTAATGTGATACATTTTGTCTCCCATTTCTTCCCAGAAATATGAACAAGAACTTTTCAAACTGGCACTGCCTTGCCTGAGTGCAGTTGCGGGAGCTTTGCCTCCAGACTACATGGAGTCAAATTATGTCAGTATGATGGAAAAACAGTCATCAATGGATTCTGAAGGGAACTTTAACCCACAACCTGTTGATACCTCAAAGTATGGACTCTTTCTATTGCAGCAGCTTTTTATTGTAAATGATGTGTGAAGTCTGAAATTGAATAAGGTACTAAAGTGAACTTTCTCTAACCCATGCCCCTTTTGAGTTGGTATCCTTTTAAGAGGGGTCCCGGACGCTCCTTGATGAAGTGATGGCCTTACATGGCTGTGCAGAGTCAGAACTAGATGAGGTGCACCTGCTCAGAGGTGCGTAGCATCACTAAGATTCTCTGGATGGAATGCAGGCTAGTCTCTGTGATGATGAGGAAGGAGATCAGCTCTATGCTAGGCGAAATTTACCCTAAACATTTGTTAACGCGCGCAGCGGCCAACCTCTCATAGCATCTTTGACTCAAGGAGAACCCAGCACCCAGCGCAGAGCTGTTCCTGTGAGCTTCGGGGAGTCACCTCACCATCACCGCATCTCATCAGGCCTAGCGTTTGCCTCTTAGGGTCAGCATCATAAAACACAGTTTGAGATTGAGGGGAAAACTGAGTATGTGGTTAGAATGCAGTCAGGATGGCAACCTTAACCACAGATAAAGTGTCGCTTAGATTGTGAAGCTTCTCACGTGCAGTTGGGTAAATTGTCTACAAATAGGATCTTTGGGGGTTCAGGTGGTGGGAGTCTGAGCAGGGCTGTTTTGTTACTGGCTGAAGTAGCACCCTAGTTTCCCATTGCAAGGAAAGGGCCTCTCGGTGCAGATTTCCTTACGGAGGCACATTGAGACCCTTCGCCAGGTCATCCAAGACCGGTCACTGTAACTGAATTTGCTTGGGAGTTCAGTGTCCAGGTTCTGGGTGGTTCCCTAGCTGATTTAGATTCTGTAACCAGTTGAAAATTTCAAGCAGAGTGGTATATGCCATTAGTTTGTTAATGCCTTAAATTTGCATGTTTGGTATTTGATGACAGTCCTGTGAGAAAAGACTCAACCCCCAGTATTTGGCTTATGTGATTGATCCTTTGGGTCGCTTCCAAAGTAAGTAAACCAAAATGTCACATGTTCATATTTCTACCTGGGTAAGTTGCGGTTTGCTAACATACAGTGTAATCCAGGATTTTAAAATAGCATTTGAACAATGTCATAGCTTAGTGTGGAATAATTAAATCCAGGTCATAAGTGTTGGGCATGTATATTCATTATATAGACTTGCCCCTTTGAGGACTTCTTAACAGATAAGGTTTACATAGAGATATGAATAAATGACAGAATTCTTTGTGGTATATATTATACCTTAGGTATGTATATATCATATAGTTGCATTGCTGACTGATAACAGTGTTGGAAAGAAAAGAAAACCATCTCACTATACTAGATTTTATTTAGTATCATATTGCAAAAGTTATGTGCATTAATAAGCTTTATTTATACATGAATAGAATTAAATTTAGATTTAATCTTCCATTCACATATATCTATATTTGATATTCCGATTCTTACCTTTACCATCAGACTTGGTCACCAACTGCATGCTTTCAACATCTGTTCAGTGAAAGGAATCAAGAATAAATGAATCAAAGCATGAGTTGGTTAATTATTTATCTCTGTAATCCTTATTCAAAACATAATATATTTCAAATCATTAACTTTGAGACTAGTTCAAAATCGTAGAACTCTTAACAATATACAATAGGTCAGATTTCAGCAGTGTTTCAAACATTTATAGTTCTTACAAAAGAGTGTCAAACACAGAATAGACTTGAAAAATGAATATGGAACAGAAGTATGTTTTAAACCTACTGAGTCTAACTCTTGTTATAGGTTTCAAGCATTATTTTTTCATCCTTATTGTCCGCATCTTTGGGTCTATTTGAATTATTGTTATGGATGCTGTGCTTAACTTTTACCAGCCACAACATATTAAAATATGGTGAAATATGAAGCAAAGTAAGAACAGATAGAACATCATCCACCCAATAACATCTTGTATAACGTTACTACGCAATGGAAACCATTTTTGGTTACACACTGGTTAAGTCATGCATGAAATGGAATGTAAGCGGTCACAAGCTGTAGTATGGTTTCTTGCATAACCAGGCTTCTTTTATTTTTCTCTCACAGTATTACAATCCCTGAGAAGTTGGAATACTTCATTAACAAGTACGCGGAACACTCCCATGACAAGTGGTGCGTGGACAAGGTAAAGGGCACGGCTACCCCCATCTACTCTGTCCTGGAGGCCCGTACTGACCGTGCCGCTGGCCGTGGCGATTGCTGTTGGTCGTGAGGTCTCTACCTGGAGTAGGAAAGGGCGTTTACTTACACGTTGCTGGTGTGCTATTTCCCTCCTGAGTAAGAGTATCGGTGTTAATAAAAGTTTTAAGGACTCAAAAAGTAGGAAGTCATAGAAATAGTGTTAAACACCCTTTGTATGTGGTAGTCAAAATTAGTAAATATCAGGGCTTTCAGGAGGAAATCATGACTCCTAAGTTCAGAAATCTTTTAAGGAAACTTTGGCTTTGTGAGTCTTTTTACATTAGATAAATCCTTGAAAAGTGTGAGCATTCAGTGGTGGTTTACACTTTCTATTCTGTTGTGTATCGTAGGTTAGAGCATAAGACGACATATTTTGTGTTGTAAAAAAAAAGCCAATTACAAATGAGCACGAGCTGCAGTCTGTACACTTGGGTCCCATGTGCGCTAAGGTTCTCTAAAGGAAGCATTTTCCCAAGTGGTCGCATATAGGTTGTTCCTAGTTCAACTCTGCAAGCGGATGATTAAAATTGGCTTATCAGGAAAGTTGGGTTGAGATGATGAATTATCGAAAATATGCTTGTACCTATTTGATGAAGTAAAACCCGCCAGCAAAGTTTCCAGAAGATACTGTGATGATTGCAGTGGTGCCACTCTGGTACCCTCACGCTCCGTTTCAGTCCGTACCCTCCGTCACTCCCAGACACCCTCACTTTGTGATGCCAAAACCTGACTGTTTGGTCAGTCATTTCCGAGGTCAGTCACCAAAGCGTTGGTGCTGTGTGAAGACTCCACCTGTTGAGCGGCAGCCCTGGCGATGAGGAGGAGCACTGTAGGCAGGCAGCGCGAAGCTCTTCCTGCCGAGTGACTCAGATGCAGCAGGCAGGTTGCAGTGACCCAGATGACCGGTGTCATGGGCAGGGCTATCAGGGCCAAGTGATTTGGAACAAATACGGAGAGGTCACTGGACAAGGAGTGGATGAGGCGGGTCTGTTACTCGGGATTGTCCACATAACCAGTTTTCCCATTTAGAGAAATGGACCTTTCCATACTCTTCATAGAGGGCCCATGGTGTGCCAGGACAAGTATCGTCAGGGTCTGTGGCCGGTAGCTTCCTAGGGAAGTGCTTGTCGGCACAATCGCAGACCTGCGTCTTTTAAGGACCACTGCGTGCTTTCAGCCTCTGGATGTCATCCAGGCGAGTATTCACATTGCGGCTGACTAGGAAGGGAGCCGCCCTGACCAGAGCTGCACAAAATCCAAGTCCTGTCCTTATCTTGGCTCATCTTAGGTTTATTTTAACAATTATAGATTAAGCGGCCTGTACTCTGACTTGAGTACATGTCAAGCAAGTTTGATGTTGTTTTTCAGTTGGCAAATGGATGGATTTATGGAGAAATATTTTCAGATTCTTCTAAAGTTCAACCATTACTGAAGCCATATAAACTATTATCTGAAAAGGTAAGTTTTGGTTTTCTTTTTAGATTATACAGTTTCCATTTTTTTGGACAAAAGTTTGATCTGTAATTTCATACTACAATGTCTTTATGGACTATGGCTGCTGTTCTGTTGTTGCAGAAGGATCCTACTTTGTAATTTTGTCATTCTCTGGGCCCACTTTCTGTCAGAGTTTAATCGTCATGCTCTTCTGCGTAACTTGTCTGCTCAGCCTTGATTTTTATTCCTAGCCTATGCTTTAATGACTTTCGAAAATCTGTGCTGAGAAGTTTCTTGATGAGGAATGATTTTGCACATGCCTACTTATAAATTTTGAGTCCTTTCTTTGGCTTGGGGGTGCGTAGTCAGCATCTCGCTAAGGAAGTGGAAACACCTCGTGGCGTGGTGCTGCTGGAAGGTAGCAGAGAAGCCTTCAGCCGGCGGCACTCTTCTTAACTGTGTTTCGCCTTCTGGTTTCTCCAAAGTGTCAGGACGGCAACACTGAAGGAAACCAGTGTCCGTGCTAAACAAGCGAGGGCCACTCTCCTAACATTCGTTAAACCAGACCTCGGCTTGTTCCTTCAGGCTTCTGTTCCACGTTGGCCTTTAACAAGGCTGATCAAAATGTCCCTTTCCTAGTGAAGGAAATCTGTGTCAGAACAAAGCATTAACTGTTTAAGTGTTCACCGGGGTTCATGGTATTGCCTGTGTTGTTTTTATTTCTGTCTATCTCTAGGAAAAAGAAATTTACCGCTGGCCAATCAAAGAATCCCTAAAAACGATGCTGGCCTGGGGCTGGAGAATTGAAAGGACACGAGAGGGGGACAGCATGGCCCTTTACAGCCGGACGCGACGCATTTCTCAAACCAGCCAGGCAAGAAGCAGCAGTGAGCCACGTGATGCCACTTGAATGACTTTAAACTTGCGTTCATAGCTCGGGGTCGCCACCGCTTGCAATTTGAAAATTCTAAAGACTGAAGGAAAGTGTAGAGGGGGGTGGAAATCTGTGCCTTTTAAAAAATTTTCTTTTGAATTTTCATTTTTTTAATACACTCATGCCCTTGCAGCAGCATGGATGGGACTGGGAGGGATTAGGCCCTGCGGAATAAGCCTAAAAATATCACAGGTTCCCGTGTAGGGGAGCGCTGTAGAGAAAACAAGGAAGGAATTAGAGAAAAGTTAACTATAATAAAGTAAAAATCAAAATTATCGGCATCTATAGATCATGCAGGTTTATGTAGATTTTATGTATTTTTAAAAAGATTTTATTTGTTTATGCACACGGAACTGGGGGCACAGGCCGGAGGTGCAGGGACTGAGAGGTTTCACCAGAGACAGAGTGGGGAGCAGGACAGGCTGACGTGGGAAGTTACACAGCTGAGGGGAGCAGCGGGGAGACAGGAGAGGTCTGCCGCACCTGCGGGTCACCTCTGGGGCGGGGATCAAACTCATGCTGAAGCGGCTGCGGCCAGCACCCTAGTCCGAGGGGCTTTCACTAGAAGCGCCACCAGCAAGGCCGGCTGCTCACTTATATGTGTGTGTGTGTGTGTGTGTGTGTGTGTGTGTGTGTGTGTAGAAATGTGTAGCAGTTTATTTTTCCATCATTATGTGCCTTTTCCATCTGAGTTGTAACCCCGTGGGCTTCCCATCACCACATCCCCTGTGCCAGGCCGCTCACTTTCACGGAGGAAGCGCTGTGCCTTTGTGCTTTCTATTTCTGAAGTCTCGTGTCGGTGCCTCTCTCCCTGAGACTTCACCCCTGTCCCCCACACTCTCTCAGGTATCGGTGGAGGCTGCCCACGGCTACAGCCCCCGCGCCGTCGACATGAGCAACATCACCCTCTCCAGAGATCTGCACGTACGTACCGGCGGCTTCCTAAGACAGTCTCCGCCTTTAATTTCGGGTCACGTCCGGCACAGAGGTCGCAGCATGAGCGGCTGGGAAGCTGTGATGGGCTGGGGTGTCCAGGGAAGCTGTGGGCGCAGCACAGCCGCTCGCTCCAGGAGAAGCGTTTGCAGCTGTGCATTCGGGGAGCTGACTGCGCTTGGCTTGCCCCCCCATACTCTTGGTGTGCCCTCCTTACCTGTCACTAAGGAGCGCGCCTTGGAATGGGAGCTGTGTGTGAAGGAGAACCGTTCTCTCCTCGGGTTGTAAGTTGGCAGGTCAGTGTCGCGATCAGACAGTGGAGGGGGCGGTTATTCCCAGACAGGGAGCTGCAGGGGCAGAAAAGCTGGGCGTTGGCTTGTTGGCCGCCGCTGGGTGCAGGGATGAAAGTGGCAGGAGACCCTGATGCACAGAAGTGGAAACAGCCTTTGAGGTAATGGTGTCGAAGCCCCGAAGGCCCCAGGGAGACGGCGTGGCCCGTGCGCTCGGCACAGGCCCCGACAGCTCCCGATGTTTGCTCGCAGTGTTGACGAGATGGCTGTGGTCGCTTAAGCCTCCACGAACTGAAATGAGAGCTGGCAAGTGAATGTTTTCTCTTCGCTCAGTCCGTGGCTTGTTTTGGCCTCGTCGTTAAATTCAGAAAACATCTTAAACGTGAGCCGTGTGCTGGCCGTCTAGCAGAGCTCGCTGCTCACCCTGCAGCCTTCCACCGATGTGGAATTCCCTAGAGTTTGGTTTCAAAGGAGACAGTGTGTTTGGCTATCTTTCATGTGCTTTTTAGCACCAACACAGGGGTCTGCTCAGGGGAAGCTCTTTTGGTAGGTAGTTGGCGCACAGTTATCCTGATTTATGCTCATTGTGACCGAGCTGAATTGCTAAATATTTTGTTTGAAGGCGATGGCAGAAATGATGGCTGAAAACTACCATAATATATGGGCAAAGAAGAAGAAAATGGAACTTGAATCTAAAGGTAATATTGCTAAATATTCTCATCAAAAAGCTAGTTTTACTATGCAAATATGTGGCACAAATAAAGGAGTCCTTTAAAAATATTTATCATACAGAACTGGGGGACAGGCCAGAGGTGCGGGGGTGAGAGGCCTCCCCAGAGCCAGAGCGGGGAGCAGAGGACCCAGGTCAGTGAGTCCACTGCTGAGGGGGCAGCCGGGAGACAGGAGGGGCCTGCTGTGCCCTGAGGTGACCACAGGGCGGGGATGGAACTCTGAGGCGGCTGAAGCAGCTGGCAATGCTGCCTCCAGTCTGCTGGCCACCAGGGAGGGCTGTTCCCAGATTCTTACAGACAGACTGGAATGGAGCCCTGATCTCTTTCCCCTGCCTCTCTTCACCCCTGCTCGCTCCCCTCCCCCTCCTGCACCCCTTCTCCTCCCCAGCTCCCAGCCCTTCTTCCGCCCAGAAGTATCCATTAGTCGCTGCCCCCAGATCGCTGTGGACTAAAATGAAGCTGCTAGACTAAGTGCAGTGCTGCAGGAATAAAGGACTCCATGCAGTGTGGACTCAGAGTAGGCGCCGGCCGCCGGTTGCTTGCACATTTGGTTTATGGTTTTTGACCAAAGAAGCCTGTTAAATTCCACCTTTGGTTATGAGGGAAGTCAGATTGCCCTCAGCGCACTCGGGGATGCAGCCTGCACCCTTCGCGCTGTTCAGCAGAGTCTGTGAGCTTTCTCCTCGGACAGCTTTTTTGTGGATGCGGCTGATCTCCATGCATACAGCCGCGCCAGGAAACACCCAGGGAGGCCTCCCTCACTCGGCAGCCTCTGGCTCCGCATTGGCGGTTTTAGAGTTCCCCCTCGCGGTGAGAGTCCTCCGCGCACGGTTGCATTTCTGCCAGTGGGACCCGGTGAAAGCAAGTTTCCAGAAAAACCGGCGTCCGCTGCTCTGCTACCTTTTCTTTGTTCCTCTTTGCGTGGGCAGATGCAGCGTTTGGGTTTGTTTTACAGTCTCATGACTGAACCACAGCAGGCGCTGGTGTTTTGTCAGCAAATTGAAATACTCATTTTCAATTGTTTTTTGGGGTGCTCTCTTAGCAGTTTACGTCAAGGAATGACAGCATCCCACACAAAACACATTCCCCGTCCGTTTGATACATTTTTCCTGTGGAGTAAACTGTGCAGTTTTTTCATCCTTAAAATATTCCTTATGCCGTATCTTTAGACCTGTAAGTATATACATTTTTGAAATTGTTATAATTTTGATAAAGAATTTTATCAAATTTCTTTATCAAACTTATTAAAATGTTTTTCTTATTAGTTTCTAAAATTTAAATAGTTATGTAGCTTTTAAATATCAAGGAAACATAGCCTTTTGTATTTCTCAGAAGAAAAGGCATGCTGGAAAAATACTTTTGCAGTTTTTAGTCAGTCAAATATGCATGTTATTAGAGATTTAAGAGATAACCACCTTTTTTTTTTTTAAGATTTATTTATTTATACAGAACTGGGGTACAGGCCAGAGATGCAGAGGGTGAGAAGCTTCACCAGAGACAGAGTGGGGAGCAGAACAGGCAGATCGAGGAAGTACACTGCTGAGGGGAGCAGCGGGCGGGTCAGGAGAGGTCTGCCGCACCCTGTGGTCACCTCCGGGCAGGCGGGAATTGAACTCATGCGGAAGTGGCTTTAGCTTCTCAGTGCTGTGCTTTAACCCGCTGTGCCACCAGGGAGGGCCAAGACCACCTTTTAATGAAGCAAGTTAAGTATGAGCTCTGTGCATGTAGAAATATGTGACTGTGAATTAACTCTGTCTTGGGACGCAAATATAGATTTCCTCCTCTCCTCTCTGTAGGGCAGAAAATGAGGCATGTTTTTGGAACTGGGCCCTAGGGACACGAGAGCCTATTTTAGTGCATATCTGCCTTCTTCAGCCTCAGAGAGCACAGCTGCATAGTCATCCTTGGAACAGTTTTCCTTAATGATTTGGAACGTGAAGGCATCACGTAGTTCTGTGCATGCTACGTGTAGACAGTCAGGAAGTTCTTCAGCAGATCCCTGCTCTTCGTTGGCTGGGCTGGTTTCAGGTTAATGTATCATTTCTCTGTTGTGTTCTTGTCTTGACATTCTCTTAGGAGGGGGCAACCACCCTCTGCTGGTTCCCTACGATACGCTGACTGCCAAAGAGAAAGCCAAGGACAGAGAAAAAGCTCAGGACATTCTCAAGTTCCTGCAGATCAATGGCTATGCCGTATCCAGGTAAACGCGCACCTGTTGCATTCCTCTCATTAGACGGAGCATGTGAACAGCTCCATAAATTTTAGTGCTGAAAATGCGCTTAATGAGTGTGTCCAAAACACACAGTGCAGAAACATTAATGTCCTTAGCTCTTGGCCACCTGCACTCATTTTCTGCCTTTGTGAAGCTCCCATCCACCATTTAGGTAAAGGCCCTATGCAAAATGACGTTTGTGCCAAAGGCATCATTTTGTTGCTTAGTAGAAGAGAAACTTCTAGTCTGCATTAGACCCAAAATATTTCTTTTTTTTAAAGATTTACTTATTTGTGCATACAGAACTGGGGTAGAGGCCAGAGGTGCAGGGGCGGGGAGAAGCTTCACCAGAGACAGTGGGGAGCAGAATAGGTCAACCGATGAAGCCCACTGCTGAGGGGAGCAGCAGGCGGGCCAGGAGAGGTCTGCAGCACCAAGTGGGTCACCTCTGGGTGGGGATCGAACTCATGCTGAAGTGGCTTTAGCATCTCAGTGCTGTGCTCTAACCTGCTGTGCCACCAGGGAGGCCCATAAACATCATTTTTGTCTTGAGTTACAAGAATACTTAGATGGCATTCAAAATTTATATATGTATCTACAAATAAAGTTTTACCTGTTTCTACAATAGTCTTTGTAGAACTTGATTTTCTTATTTCATTGTTGCTGCTTTAGAGGATTCAAGGACCTGGAGTTGGATACACCTTCCATTGAAAAACGGTTCGCCTATAGTTTCCTTCAGCAGCTCATTCGCTTCGTGGATGAAGCCCATCAGTACATACTGGAGTTCGGTAGGTATTACAGTCCTTCTGCTACAGCTCGGTTGTTTTTATTTTTACTGTTTTCAGCATCAAGGGGCAGACTAGAACAGACTGCTGGGCTATTTGGGGTCTGTTACATTGCCCATTTAGAACTCACTGGGATCTAAAAGCCAACAAGCAGACATGTCTGCAGGGCCAGGTGAGTTCTGAGAATTAAAAAAAAGATGAGCATTTGCTCATGTTTGTTGGCACTGGTTTTCCCTTGGAAAGATACATTTGAAGGACATCAGAATGCAACATACAGTTAAATCTTTCCTTATGAAATCAATTCCTCTGCATTACACAAAACAGAACAAAAACTTTATGGATTCCCCAGATTTCTGTGATGGCTTTGAGGGTCGCTTTCTCAGGGACACACTCTTATTCGAGACTGTGCCTTGCACAAGACTCCACTGTCCTGCTAAAAACAATGGCCGTCTCTTCACCTGGCCGGGTGGTGCATCCGCTCAAAAAGAACCCCTTGCTTTCAACCTAGATTCCGAACAAATCCTAAGTCTCCTCTCAGGTCTGCCATCTTTTCATCCTTCTCCACATCGGTGAATTAAACCTCAGGTCAGGCCAGACAATTCTTAACCTTGAAATATTTCCTAAACCTTGGGGAAATTTTGGTATGTTTGCTTTTGGTTATGAAAATTAACCACAATTTTTATTTTTAACAAAATGTTCACTTTCAACCTACCATTACAGTTACGGTTTTCTCTCTCTCATCTGAGCTGCAGCAGGTTTTGGGCAATTTTTCAGTTGGTCTGTTGATACTGGAAGTTTTCCATTGCAGTCATATAAGAACTCATTGACTTATTCAAAGTCACTGTTAAATCTAGCCAATTATGTTTATGAGGTTTTCTCACACTATTGAGTTATTATTGAAAGAAGTGGGATTTTTACTATTTTCCTATTCCTTCCTACACACAAACGTCCTCACAGCTATATAATTTATTTGCATATATTCATAACCCTGGGACCATGTGTATGGCCTGCCCACAAAAGGCTTGTTAACAAATACTTGGATTTGGGTATTTTTATACTGCCCAAATTAACCTTTACATTTTTCATTGGCTTTTTATCTTCAGTTTATGTGATAACAGAATCACCATGCATTTTTGACTTTGTACTTTGTGTGACTGTCCTGTAATGTTTAAAGTGCATTATTACCTATAAACTCTTCCTATCTACAGATGGTGGCAGCAGAAGCAAAGGAGAACATTTCCCTTATGAGCAAGAAATCAAGTTCTTTGCTAAAGTACAGTATACAATCCATTTTGTTTTGCTTCAGTGTTTGTTGACAAAATCCACTCTTTAGACCTTTGCCTCTTTCTAAAATGTACTTGTTTACAAATGTGAATTCTTCTCTAAGTAAATAGTCTGTGCATGAAAATAACTGCATGAATCACATAGGATAAGTTCGTTCCCCACATACGCCCTGGATCATCTTTTAACACATTTTGCTATCCTTACCAAACTTTTCAAATGATTTCCTTTTATAAGACATCTGATTCAGAGTTTTCTTTTCCTGGCTTTATCATGTAAGGTAGAAGAAAAAATATCTACTTTTTAACATATGTGCACTTTTATGATTTAAAACGTGCTGACGAACATTTCTTTCAGAAAAAGGATAACCACTAGTTAGTTTATAAGTGGGAACACTATATAGTCATTGATAGAGAATCTTTATCGTGGGGACTTAGTCCTACTTATTTTACATATGAAAATAAGATTCAGAGGATGAATTATTCTAGTATAGAAAGTATAGCCTGTTATTATTGTTATTTCATTTAGTGAGTGCTTATCAAGAATTTGTTCTATGCCTGGGGTATTCCTAACTCATTTTAGTCCATAAGAGTCGAAGACAAAGAATTGCAAAGCATCATAGTGGGTGCATTGCATCACTCACTGTTTTCTATGTGCATTAGACTGCTCTCCAGGAAGTCATTGCCATAAAGACAGGATGGATTTGGGAGGTTATTTTTTTTTTATAATATATTGCAATAAACCCAAAGACCTGATGATTTCTTCCATCCTCTTTCAGAGTACTTGCCATGAAAAAAGACTGTTTGCAAAATTGCATGTTATTTTGATTGATACTTGGTTTCTATTATGTTTTCAGAATTGTAGTCATTCCTGTAAGGGAGATGTGTCTTTTTTTTTCTTTTTTTTAAAAGATTTATTTATTTATTTGTACAGAACTGGGGTACAGGCCAGAGATGCGGAGGGTGAGAGGATTCACCAGAGACAGAGTGGGGTACAGAACAGGCAGATCTGCGAAGCACACTGCTGAGGGGAGCAGCGGGCGGGTCAGGAGAGGTCTGCCTTGCCATGCGGATCTCCTCCAGGGCAAGCAGGGATCGAACTCATGCGGAAGTGGCTTAAGCTTCTCAGTGCTGTGCTTTAACCCCACTGCGCCACCAGGGAGGGCCGAGATGTGTCTTTTTATTTGACTCAGTATAAGTATAAAATCCTTATCCATCCTCTGAACTTTGTCCTAATCAGTACATTGCTTCTTATCTTTTCTACTAAGATGTAATCCACCTTGATCTAGCCAGTTATCAAAAAGGCTGAACTGATGGTCTGTAATTATGCATTTAAAATACATTTCTTATTGCTTGGTCCTTGTGATTTCATTGGCAAGTAATTATCAAAGAGGCCAGAAGAGGATAATGGTGGCATGTGTGTGTGTGTGTGTGTGTATATATGTATATATATGCATATATATATACATATATATATGTATATGTATATATGTATGTTTGTATTCTAAATATAAGTATAGAACATGCATTTCATGTGTTTATACATTTAATAAAAATGAAAATGATGTTCTAAGAGCAGAGACACAGGGCTTCTATCTGAGGTCCATTAAGGCTTATCTGATAAAGTGCCCCAAAGCTACATGAGGAACAGTGGCGAGGAGAAGCTACAAGGACTGGGAAGAACCTTTCAGACACAGGGAATGACAAGCCTCAGTCGGAATGGACAGAGTGAGGAGGAGGAAGTGAGCGAAGGCCAGTGGGATCAGCACAGAGTGGGAGATGGGCTTTGAGAGGCCGGAGGAGAAGACTGCTTTAGGGCCAGGTGGGAAGTGGCTTTGCGACCTTGGGTCAGTCACTCACCTGGCACACCGCCATTCAGCACCTGAGAGGCGGGGACGATGGCGCCCACCGTACAGAGTAGAAGTCGGCCAAGAGCTGTGCCAGCGTGCCAGCCCCTCCTCAGACAGGGCAGAGACTCCACACATTGTGGTCACTGATGAGCGTGAACCTGTTGGGCACTGAACTACCCAGTGATGTTGCTGAGGCGACTCCGTGCTGAGAAAGCAGGACAGTGCTTCAGCTATTGAGGAGTGGGTGGGCCCCGTGAGTGCACCTTGCCTGTGCGCATGTGCTCAAGGGCCAGACAGCACGACAGGCTGAAGGCACCTACTGGGGTGTGCTGTCGGGGATGGATGTGCGCACTGTGGGCACGGACAGGTCGTGTGCAGCGCTCTGGCTGCCCAGAGCTCCGACTCGGCCTCCCCCGCACATTCCACTAGCAGAAATGTTTCCTTTCCCTTTCTTTCAGGTGGTCCTTCCTCTAATCGATCAATATTTCAAAAACCATCGCCTGTACTTCTTATCTGCAGCCAGCAGACCTCTCTGTTCTGGGGGACACGCATCAAACAAAGAGAAAGAAATGGTGACCAGGTAACTAGCCACGAGCAATAATGGCTGTTTGAGTTGAGTTTTGTATTTGAGAAAGGACACCTTGGTGCTTTGGATGGCCACTCACCGTGGCCCTGCCCTTGGGACTCAGGCGCCGTGAGGGCAGGTCACTGCTTGCGTTTTCGATGTTGAGTTCTTATTTCTGGCTGCTGAATGTAATCCTGAAAAGAAGGAATAAAAGAGCTGAGACAGCACCCTAGATTCTTTTGATGATTTGTCCTCACACTGCTCAAGGTAGCATATTAACGACATTCTTCAAGTAAGTCATCATGATTTTGCTAGAGGTTTCAAGTGAGATTCCTCAAAGTTCTGTAGAACTTAGTGTAATGAGAACTGAATATTCAGCAAGTGACATCTGTATTAAACATTGCGTAGGTGTCTGTGTTTAGAGTATAGCTGAAAACATTTTTGTATAGAAGTAGGTGACCTATAAAGAAAATCCAGCCTATGTCGGGTTTAACTTGATACCCTGGATGAAAGGAGAGTATCAACCTGCTGGACAGAATGAAACGAGACCGAATACAGACTGTCCCCAGGCAGCAAAGAGGAAATAAAACCCTTGCGTTGTGTAGCCTTGGGAATAGGGCGTTACAGGGAATCGTGTGTTCCTTTCTTTGCTCAGGTGTATTGTTTGTTCTACTAACAGTAAGTAACCTGTCATGGGCTGTAGGGTTGCAGCAGCATTAAAAGTGCCCTCAGCCTTCTTCAAATAACCACCTTCCTGCGAGGCTGAGAATTGACTGGGACATACCTCGTTTCTACAAGTTGTGTCTCCAGAAGGGAAAATGAAGGCTACCGCCCAAGAGATGCCCCCCCCTCACTTCGGCATGGCCACCTGTCAGATGTGCCCTCGCCCACCTCATGGTCCAGTGGCCCGTGGAGGAGGGGCTAGACGAGACAGCAGCATGGGCATGTCCACCAGGGCGTCTCCTGTCCCTGGGTCTTCACAGACCTTCCACCACAGAAGCTTTGTTCCCAGCAGGTGCTGTTAGTTTGCATGTCACTCAGTTACACAAATCAAGAGAAAATGCAAGCAGAGAATATAGGAAAACTACAAAGACACGCATGCAAATGTTGGTCTTTCCCCTGCTCCCTGTTGTCTGGGGCTATCTCCCTCCAGCTGGCACCTATTCTGAAAATTCTCTTCCGACCACAAAGGGAATCCGTTCTCCTTCCTAGACCGTATCCCTTATGGAAGAAACCAGATGAACATCACTGTTCTCTACTAGCCGTAGCTGATGTATTTGGGGCCTCAGCTACATTTCTTTGTCACACAGTTCCAGAATGTTTTTTAACAATTTCATCTCTTTTTCTCCCCCTCCTGGAAAGGGGGTTACTAAATTTTATTTCTCTCCTTAGCACTTTGAAAAAGGGAACATATGCCAGTTAACATATGCCAACACACGGGGATGACACCCATCCTAATACAAGTCCCATATCCAACACCTGCTTTAGTGTTTAGCCAAATACAAGAAGAATTTAACTTCAGGGACAAAAAATTAACTAAAGAATGATAGATAATTAAGCTACGGCACATGTGCACACAGAATGTTGTTCAGGCATTAAAATAATGGATACAAGTGTATAATAGCTTAGGAAATGACCACTTAAAATATATAGTCAAGTAGTACTGGCATTTAACAAAAATAAATTTTGCATGTATAGGAAAATGCGGGTAGGTACTGCATTTCATTTTAATTGCTGTTTCCTGTGAGTACTGACTTTCAGAATTTATTCTTACTATTTGAAGTCCTTTGAGGTTTTTTAGTGAAAAAAAAATTTTTTACATTGATAAAAAAATGTTCTAAAACCACCGGCATCACTCACTAGCCAAAACCAACTAAATCATTTGTTTGCCATGTCTGGTTCCTTACCACTTCAGTTAAATATTATCTCGGTGAAGAAAATATTCAAAAAGTAAGATAACATTGCCAAAAATAGGTCTCGCTACACTGATTGACAAACATACCTTAATGCAAGTGAGGAACATTGCAAATAATAGTTGCAATTTGTTTACAGGCGACTGCAGGTATACGGATCTAAGTTGACCTCTCCACAATTAAGACAGCTGTTTCCATTAGACATCTAGACACTTTATGACCCTAGAAATACCTCGAAGTATTATGTTTAGAACACCTGTAGTGTCTAAAGCCAGTATTATCATGCTGTAAAGATGAGTAAGATACATTCTCTACCCTCCAGGAATGTACTGGCAGGACCTAATTACATTGTTATAAATGTAGTTCTGAAAGGAGAAAGCCGGAACCGTGCTCTGGGATTCAAAGTAAAGGGATTGGCTGTGCTAGAGCTTTGTGGAGCTCATTACCTTCAGTGTAAAGTCTGTGTAGGTCAGATATTTAAACGGGATTCGATTTAGATGCAGATAGTGGAAATCAAGTGAGGAGCTGGCAGTTTCTGGGAGTGGAAATTGTGTAGATTCATTATAGGATTTCTAATTGACATCTACTGTCAAAATGTTTCTTTAAATATATTTTTAAGTTTCTTTTTAACTTCCTCGTTAGCACTGAGAGGCCTTAGCAGCTTTTTAAATAGAAGAATGAGTAGAAGTGTGGCAGCCAAAAGGGGGTTGATGAAAAGAAGGTTGATGAGAAGAAGGTTGCTGGACACCATACAGGTGCTCGGAGGTCTCTGGGTCTCTGCCTGCGGCAGACAGGGCTGTTGGGCCAGTAGTGATGCCTCAGACAGGTGGTGCCACCATGCTTCCTTCGGCAGGTATTTCTGAATGCCTGCCATGGGCAGGATGCTGAGCTAGGTTGGAGGGTAAACACACATGCACAAAACACAGGTCCCTAACTTGGGTGGACTTAGTAGTAGTGCCCACTAGATGCTCTCATTTAGAGCTCGCAATTTAATGTGTTGACTGAGTGGCTGAGGAGACAACTGTTAAATTCTGGGAACCTAGAGGAGATGTAAGGAGAGAAGGGGAGTGGAGGGAAATGTGGAGGAAAGTCACCTCTTGGCAAGAGTCCTGGGGCTCAAAGCCAAGTGGTTGGGCTATTAATGATGTCTCCAGAAAAATCATGAAATTTCAGAAGAATCAGTTCTGAGAAGAGATTGCATTTGCTCGGGTGTTCATTTAAGTATTTAAGTAATGCACGAGCCGGTCATTCAGCTGGAGATACTGAGCAGAAAGTTGAGAAATAAATGTTTGGTATTGGTAAGAGGTCAAGAAATGATTGGTGGGGGGATTACCTGTACCCATGAAACACATGAAGCTCTGAGAGTATTGGTAGATGAAGCTACAGGAGAGGAGAAATAGAAGCCAACGGCCTGGATACCAACACTTATGAAATTACTGCATTCGGTGTGCTTTCAGAAGGGGGTTTTTGGGGAAGAGAGTGGTGAGAGAGGAAGGAGAAGATTTTCTGGTACAATGGTGTCAGTTTTGCAGCCCTAAGTAGTCAGTGATGGCTAGTCCTGTGAAGACCTCCCCGGGGCAGCGGCTGGAAAGGAAGTTACTAGATTTGTTGCCGAGGGGGTTTGAGAACTTCAAGGGAGAGTGCAGTAGAGCAGTGCGGTGAAAAGCAAGATTACAAGGCAGTGAGGAAGTATAGATGCAACATTAATTCTTGTGATTTGTGATGAGATTTAGAAAAGGGGAACAGCGTAACAGAAGCTCTGTCTAGAAAATCTATAGGCCACAGTTGAGGGTCATCCAGCTTAGAGTCTGTCGGGAAAGTGTCCCTGCTGCTGACTGGCACAGGAGGGGAGGACTTATCATTTTTCTTCACTGAGGACTTAGGTTCCTATGCATGCCTGGGTCTCTCTAGCGGTTCATTCCTGACTAATTAGGAGCAACTCAGATTAGGATGCAGCTGATGCCGTGAGAAGTCCTTCTTCTCAGATGTTCTCTGACCTTAAGTATGGTGCAATGGAACGGGGTGCAGAGCCTTTCTGTTTCCCATGCCAGCAAAATCTCCTAGGTCAGGATTCATTGGGTGAACGCATAGTCCTAGCATAGTAAATTAATATCATCTCAGAATGTTCCACCTGAAATATTGGAGAGTATCAGGAAGAGGTAAAAGACACCAGTTAAAATGATTAAAAGACAGGGATCCAACATATGTACAATTCTAAGATGTAATCACCCTCTGGATGGAGACAGCTCTTTGTTGAACTTGCATGCGTAAAACTCAGTGGACAGGGCTCCTGGAGGAGGCTTGCTCGTTACTTGTCTTTTTTGTTCAACGAAAAGCGGCTCATATGTCCAGTGTCAATCTTACATGTGATGCCTACTTGAAAAGAACATTGTTTTAGAAACGTATTGCATGAAAAGAGATTGCCCGAGAATTCAAATTCATTTAGGAATTTGTGGATGAATGTTTTCTGGGAAATACTGTTTTCACTAGTAAATGAGTCCACATTTTTTCTGAAGTAAGATATGGCCCCAAGCGAGCACATCATCGCAAGTGTGGTGTGGCTCCTTTCTCCTGTCCTGCCGTGAGTCGTCACCTTCATTTATCCCATGCTGTAGTCTGTTTCCACCATCCTGTGGACCCCAGCACACAGCTGGACATGGGGCCTCTTGGCTAGGGAGGCCGGGGCAGCCTGCATCTAGCCGTGAGTGTTACTGGGAAAGTCCCGCTGAGGATCGGTGGTGTATACAGATGGACCTTCCAAGTTAGAACTTTGGGAAGTTCTGGCTAAGCAGAACCAGTATTCTCTGAGAGTTCAGAAGATGTAGAGATATGTATAAAATATACTGGCAGTAATATGTGAAGTTAAGTGTCCTGGTTGAGATTTGCAAATTGCCACGGACAGAATCTCTGTCAGCCTGGATTGTGGATATGATGGGGTGCGGGCTGTTAGACAGTAAGCACGTTCTGAGCTGACTCCCGAGGGATAGCTAGTAGGGAGTGGAGCTGAGAGGGGAGTAGAGGGTGTTCTGGGGAAGAGGGACTACAAGAAGCCCAGACTGAGGCCTGGTGACAGACGGCCTAGTAGGCCTGGCCCAGGTCCTGGGGTCAGAGCTGAGAGCTAGCGCACAGCAGTCTTCTCTGCTGAGTCCAGGCCCCTGACTGCCCCAGCATTTGGGGTCTCCCAGGATCACCAGGGAGGTGATGTCCGGATCACCAGGAAGGTCACAAAGACCCAGCGACTCATGGTGAAGGCGTTAAGAGAATGCTTAACCCATGCGTTAGCATTAAGATCTCTCTAAGTGACCACACTACCACGTTTTTCTGTGAACGATTTTTACTCGCTCAAATATGGCTCCTACTTCGCTGTGTTCAAATTCTTCGGATATTTTGGTATACGTGGAAGGGGTTGGTCAGGGCTGGGAAGACGGAAAGTTCACGTGCTGTAATATTTTCTTCCCAAAGCAACAAGCTTCTGTTGTTAAGTCATGCCCATAACAATAACAAAACGTAAATCCATTCAAGGTCAGTGGTGCATTCGAGCACATCACATCCAACTTTCCTCCTGGTTTTCAGTAGTTATACTTTTGTGGAATTCATATAGATTGCTTTTATATTAATTAGCTTTGCCTTCAAGTTTTTTTTTTTTGTTCCTTTACTTATAATATGTGCTTTTTAACCATGTTTGTTAAAGAGATGCACTCAAGACTCTTTCTTTAATATCTTTACTCCACGTTCTGCTCAGAGAATTGATTCTTTCCGCGTGACATCATGTTGCTTTTCTGGCTCATAGATCAGCTGTTTATTTTTCTTTTTTTCTTCTTTTTGTTTAATTTTATTTTAATTTCTCCCTGTCTTTTCTACCTTCCCTCCCCCTTTCCCTTTTCTCTTTTGTTTTTCTTTGTCTTCAGCCTATTCTGCAAACTTGGAGTTCTTGTCAGGCATAGGATTTCACTATTTGGTAAGGAGACCCTTGAAAAAATACTGGCATGGCCATCGCTTGGTTTTCTTTGCCATTTTTGCACTGTGTTGTGTGCTGCTATGTTGCACGAAAGCATGTTTGCATGGCTAATGCATGGTGGTCATAGGCCAACATAAGGTCCTTGAGGTGTTTATAAGTAGCATTATCTATGGTGAAATTGAAGGCCGTCACTTTTCTGCACCAGTCCAAAACCCATTTGAACATCAAACGGTTCTGTTATCAGAGAGCAGATGAACGGAAATTGCAGACGCTGCCATATTTTATTTTGGTGGGATAAAGCACACGGCCCTTTGCATCACTGTAATTGTGCTTGGCCCCCTCTCATCGATTAAATATGAGCTGTTACAAATGAAAGCGTTTTAAACTGCACCTGTATTTACTACTCTTGACTGCAGATTCACACATCTACTGCATTGCAGACGCAGGAGCTTCGTAGTGAAGACAGTGAGGCCAGGGCACCCGCCAGAGTGTCTGTCGTAGCGCCCCGCCCCGCGCCCATAGGCGGCTCTTGCCCGTTTCTCAGAAGTCGCGTAGCTGGCGCCATTTTCCTGAGCACGTGCCCAGGAGCCCGGCAGGTGTTCGTCCTCCCTCCATGGGCTTGTCTTGCCGTGGGACTTGAGGGCTTCATTGGCAGAATGTGTGTTTGACGCTTGCCGGCATCTGCTTTTAGAAACCAACACAGAGTTTCTCCCTGTGGTCTCTAGGTTTTGGAGACAGTGTTGGGAAAACTTCTATAATCATCACTTCGCTCACTGATAGAGAGATCTAAGTTCAGTTCCATTTACAGAGAGATCTAAGGGTGAAGCCTTTGCTATAAAACCCCCAGTGAATCAGATGAAGAATAGGTGTGTGTCTGTGTGGATGTGCAAAAATTAAGATTTTATATTAAATTTTTCAGAAAAAAAAAGTTTGAAATAGTTTCTGGCTATGATGAATGCTGCATTTGGTTCCTAATGTTATCATATTAAGCATTTGCTGTTCTTGAATGTAGCAATTAAGTTATTTTTTCCTAGAAGTTGCCTGAGTGCCTTAATGTGTCAAATATCCAAAATTTATGGGGAACTTTTCTTCAGAACACTTTCTACTTGATTGTCCTTTGTTCGACTTGTTATTGACATAGAAAAGTTTCTCTGGAAATTGTTTGGACAGAATGCTCACGTACTCTTTAGCCTTCTCTGATGGGCCCGCTCGTCAGCTGCAGTTTTTGCATTCTCTTAAGTGAGCGTCATAATACTTTATTGTGCCAACTCTAAATTCTTACATATTGTACATTCTTGGTTTCCTATGCTATAGTTTACTTTTTTTTTCTTTTTTATGTGAGTCACCACACACATACAGGGCTGTGCATACGTAAGGACAGTTGGTCTGAGCCAGCTGGACAGAATTTTGCGTGCTGCACATTCTTGCTCAGACCACAACATGGAACAGGTTCCAGTTTATACATTTGCACAAAAGAGCTATACAGGCTTCCATTTACCATGGATTAATTTTGCCTCTTTCTTAACATAGTTTTTCAAATGTATTAACTAAATGTCAGTAACTACAGATAAGTGAGTGATATAATTTGTCATACTAAAAGTTTAATATCCATTAGATCTTTGTGTGATTAGGACTTTCCATGTAAACATTGTATTTCATATTCCTTAGCCTTTAAGTACTATAATATTTATTTTTAGCAAGAATTTATTGGTGAGCTACTATGCGTCTTTACCTCAAAAGCCTAATTTTCTGCATTCTGTTTTATTTCAGCTTCCGATGTTATTGTTTCAAATTTGCTTTGGCATTTGCTTGTAAAATAATGCAAACTTTAGTGGCCCTTGTTACTTGAACATGATCTAAAACAGATTTGTCAAATTATTAGAATATATGTAAATCTTAGAGTTGTAACCCTTCTACATCACAGTTATGAACTGGCTTAATACACTGTTGTGATATCCTGGAGAGAATAGTTATTTCTGAGCTGGGAACCCTAAATGACAGTACTTTACTGGTGACTAGGCAGAATGGTTTGAACAAGAGGCGTAACTGCTTTGACCCTTTCAATTTCCATTTTCAAAATAAGCTAAAATTAACTACTAATCTGAGATCTGTTGCATGTATCGTTAATGCGAGATAATGAATGTTCAAATGCTGAAGTTTACACATGTAAACTTCAGCCTTACATGTGTCAAACTGTTACACCTTTCAAAACTATCCCTAGTCTTATTCGTACAACTTTTGTTTAAAATAACCATATCACATACAAACCGAACAGGGACATTGACCATTTAAAGTACAGGCACAGTGAAGCCTGTAATCGAAACATCTCCAGAATGAAAGTGGGATAACCCAAGCCTTCCCTTCCTGAGTATCAGTGATGGCACTGAGGATTTTCCAGGATCAAAAACTAATAGCACAGGTGTAGTGCTTATTTATATACAGTCATATCATCTCTTCTTTCTTCTTTTCACCCGCCCTTTATGACACATCATTTCCCTTTATACTGGTAGACAGTAAGTTGGTGGTCAGAATGCTTCTCTTATGCAGACTTAGTTAAAGAAAAATGTTCATGATCTGAACTAAGAATTAAGACTGGAATGGAAAGTTGAGGTCAACAAAGAAACACTTGGATTCTGTGCCCGTGAGTAAAGGTGAAAGATGTAAAGCGCAGCAGAGTAAGCTCAAACATGTCAGGAGGATGAAACTGGACAGAAGAGGAGCGTTAAAATAAGCCAAGAGATGGAGCACTCACCTTGACGGTGCTGATAACTGTATTGAGCTTGAGCAGGTTCGATGAGTCACCGAATATTCATTCCACAGTGGACACCTCGTTGTGCTTGTATCTCCAAACCTCATCTGTAGTTGACTTTTTACTGACATATAAAATGAGAAGTGCCCAAACTGGGATTGCTTTGCAGTGCACATTTTTTATCTAATTTATGGTATTTTCTATTCATTGGAATGTATTAAAGAGACTCCCTTTTATGTTATTTTTGAGGCCCTTAAACCATTTCATTTTATACTAGAAAAAGGTGAGAAATTTTGAAAAAGAGGAACAAGCTTTATTTCCCATACAACAGTAATTCTGTATATTCATTAGAATGGTTGATGGGAACACTCATAATGAATGAAGAAAACAATATCTTACTGATCGATGGGCTTCCCAGTTGAATTCTGAGCTGCTTGCTGGTGCGGTAAGTTAGTTGGTGGCCTTCTATTTGGGGAAATCAGTTAGGATACGATAGGACCCAGGCAGGTCAACCGTGACCAGTATCCTTCCTGCCGTTATGGCCATGGAGAATAGTGCTTTGAGGGCCCAGTGCAGAATAGTGCTTTTTAATTCCATGACTTTCCCCATGATTCCCTTTCCTTTTCCTTTTTTTTTTAATATTTACTTGCATCAGTGTTTTACAACATTGTTCACTTTTGTTTAATATTTTCAAGAGATTGCATAAGCCCATCGAGTGGATCCTATTTAAGCCTTTCAGTCATCTGCTGTGGTAACTGCTAGGGACAGCGACGGTGGCGCAGTTGTGTGTCCCGGGAGTGTTTAAGAGCTCTATTTTACAAGTGCAGAATCTCACACCTTACTGCATTCATTTAACAAACAGCCACTGTGTGCCTGCTCCGTGCGAGACGTTCTCTCAGACTGCGGCCACGCAAGATGATGTCTCCCCCTCTGCTTGCAGCTGTCACCCAGGGTGACCCCCGCCGTCGCGCTGTGCTCCTCTGAGGGCAGACTGGCTGTTCTTTCTGAGCCGCCTCTTGCCTTTCTGGACGGTGCCCTGCAGTGATCGCACCTCAGAAGCCTTTCAGACCGCCCCTGTTTACTGTGTGGCTTCCATTTCTTTAGAATAACGGTCAGATCCTCACGTGGCCACATTGCTCTTTCATAGCCATCCTGACGACCCACTCCCTGCTGATTCCCCAGGTCTTCTGTGCATAGTGGATTTCAGCTAGTTGATTTCTTGCTGCTGCTTGAAAGAGATGCGTTCCCTTCAGCCCAGGATTTTTGCACATGCTTGAGTTGCTCGGCCATCCCTCCCCCCGCAATGAAGTAAACTGCTCCCCTTCCCGATTGCAGCCCTGGCATCTCTCTGTCAGGAAGGCCTTCCCTGGCCTCTCTGATTTTACTCCCTCCTCTCATCAAACCATCTCCACAGTTCCATGACATTACTCTATCTCATGGGTAATAGAACTAGATCAACATCCATTGCTGTCTCAGCTCTCAACTCTCTGAGCGTCTCTTGCAATGCCCTCAGTGCCTAGTAGGAAGCTGACACGTAGCTGGCACTTGATAAATATTTGCTGATTGAATGAGTCAGCCACGCAGACTTCCAGTCTTCAAGAAGTCTGTGATGGGAAATATAAGCAAGCAGATGTTTACAAACACGCAGTAAGTGTTACCAATTTGGAATTGTCTTGCATTTATAGATAACCCAAACTTTTATTTTGCTTGTGGTTATTTTTTAAATGTAGTATTCAGTTATCCCAAAATATGAGAGAATTGTAGTTTTAATTCCTCAACGCAGTCCATGAAAACATTTAAGGCCCGTGCCTTGAAAAGTGAGTGATGGGTAAGCAGTGGTTGTAGGCAACAGGGTCATTGCACCGACTGACAGACTTCATTTCAGTGCAGGAACTACGTGAGAAGGCTCAAAAGAGTTGTGTAGAGGTCTTTTTCAACTCTCCCATTCTCTCGCAAAGTTTTCCTGTGTTAGTGAGAGAGAATATTGCCCAGAAACTCCCCAGAATTACTGTGTAATTACTTGATCCCATGAGGGAGCCCTCTGGAAATGCCTGGGATAAAGCAGGCATTTAAGGACATTGTGAGCAAAATATGCTAATATTTCTCCTGGCTTGACCTCAGCTGACCCAAAAAGTCAGCATTTAACATCATTAATACAACTCCA